CCGTTAGACAACTACCAGACATTTTTTCAAACGTTTTTGTATTTATTTTTCCATAGCCATCACAATATTGATTCTGTCTTTAATTAAATACCACTGTTTATATCTACATTACCTAAAATTACTTTTACAGTAAATTGTACATCTCAGAATTTATGAGCTTGTTAGTTATGACTGTTGACAGTGCAGGTTTGAATTAGGTCTCACACCACTGTTATCAGTATTTTCCGAGCGATGCACAAATACAGATGGCATTTTATTTAGTACATTTTGTGGCAAAGTTCATATGTACAAAGGAAAAGCAGTAGGATGATGCCCAAAGTTATAAAAGAATATGTATGTTACCCCTTTCACCTTTTCAGTGTCAGCATCCTGTAACAAGTTAAACAGCCCTGAGACCAGAGTCGCTCCAAGTTTTAGAGAAAAAGATGTGTTAAGAACTTTTTTCCCTATGGTTTTGAAGTCTTTGTTGTTGACCTTAGAATAAACAGCATATTGTAAACTCATCGCAGATGTTAGTTTGTATGTGTTGAGAAAAATTCCCGATGGATACGGGTATGAAGGTAAATGACCTTGAGAGTCGTTTACGGGGAAGTATTTAAACCATGTCAGCTGGTGATGAAAGCTCTATGCCTGTCGTCCTTATTTCAACATAGTCCTCAAAGGAAGTAAAACATCCTGAAATGCACTGGCTCTAAGAACATGGGCTTCCATGAAAGTCCACTTTGAAGAAAATCTGCATGACAAAAGACACACAGAATGTAAAAAAAACATCACAAAAGTCATCAGGAAGTGTCTTTTAAAGACTGAGGAGGAGACTGAAATAACAGGCAAACTGATCCAAAATGGAGTCCCCTTTGACCTTATAAAACACGATCTTTAGCTCTCTTGCCATTTTCTCCGTGGTTTAGTGATGAAGGTTATTTTATTGTGCTATAAAATAATCACATTTTTATTTCTCTCTTCTTAGAGTTGGCAGCTTTATCCCATACTAATTTTAGGCTAATTCTAGATGCCAGTATGTATGTGTACATGTATGTGTGTATGTGTATGTACATGTTAAGTAATTTGTACGCTTGCTGGTGTTGAAAGCCTACTGAAATTGTTGCTTTGAAACTTGCAAACATTATTTCTCATGATTCCAGAGCAAAAACACTGTAAAGTTCTGCGAACTTTCTTGGTCTAAGTAAATTTCTAGCATGAAGACTCCAGCATGAAAAATAGGGAGCTTTCAAGTCAACCAGAAATAAGGACATGGAAGTTCATGGATCTCCATGGAGATCAAGTCTCTAAATATCCCTGTGTCACAGTCCATTCAAACTTCAAACACTGGTAGCTGCCACCTGCCACCCAGACACTGCCCAGTCTGTCCCTCTAAACTGAGCAGCTGGGCATGGACGAAACTGGTTAGGGATGCCACTGTGAGGCCAGCAGCACCACTGGGTAACTACAGAGTTCAGTGGCTTAGATGGCAGAATATATGCATCAATCAACAAGATCCTGGTCACTCCACAAAGCTGGCCTATAAGTCACATTATTGAAGAAAATTTACCTCTCTGCAGGACAGTGATCCAAAGCAAAAGGGCAAAGCTACACTTAAGTGATGAAGTCAAAGGTCTGACTTGAATCCTGCTGAGAATCTGTGGAAAGACTCAAAAAGCACTGTCTGTAAGCAATCAACATGCAACTTGAAAATCTGCTAAAAGCATGAGCAAACATTGCAACAAGACAGAGTGTAAAAGTTGATACTTTCCCTAAATGTCTTTCAGCAAATATTGAGTTCACCAGCATATTTAGTTTTTCCCTTTAGTTTTTGCTGACATTCACTGTAATTTATCTTTCACTTAAATGTCTTCAGTTTGACCATTAAGGAATTCAATAAATATGTGTATGCATGATTTTGTAATTTAGCACAAAAAAGGGTCTGGATACATTTGCAAGCACTGTCAATGTTCTGATTGTAATGCCTAAAAACTACTGGAATGAAAAAGACAGTCTTGTCGAAAACAGGGTAAAGCTAATACTAACAGAAACTACAGTATCAATACAAAAAAAGTGATACACATATAAAAATGTAGCAAATATGGAATGGATTAAAGCACTACAGAAAACACTTTCACTTAAGATCACCCTTTCCACCCAGAAATAAGGCTGTTTACCAGAAAGGCAAAAGCATTGTGCTCCAGACTTCACCAGTTTTGGTTTGCCTACATGAAAATGAGATTATTTTAATAAAATTACATGTAATAAAACAACAATGATGCGTCTGTCAGCTTTAGCAATTAGTAAACGCCAGCTCTCTGGATGATTTTTAATTAGGTCAAGGATCGGTCATTTCAGACTTCTGGTTGTTTAATGATTCTGGCTAGGTTTGTTTGGGAGATATTGGATTATGTGATGCCTGCATCATAGAGGTTGTTGTGGTGTAAGCAGTCTAGTTAGTGGTGCTGGAGAACTGGCTGTTCAGCATTTGATGACTTAATGTATGCAGAGACTAAGGTTTATGACTAATGATTTGCATGCCTGGTTATTTTAAAGATTTTTCCTTAAATAGCTTTACATTGATTTATATATAGTGAATCTCTGTGTGAGGCCTATTAATTCCAATCAAAATGGACAAGACTTTTCAACACCTGGTTTGAGGTGTATATTATTTTCAGATGTCCCTTTTATTTCGGTTCCTGGCCTGAAGGAAATGCGCCTGTTGGAATTGTGCTTTGTCCTTTTGTGTTCTGAAATAATATTTGACAGAATAACTGTGTCCATCAATCCCCAGTGACATGTCTTTGATTGCAAGGCATGGTATTTCTTCTCTTTTATTTCTAGCAGACTTTTCTCTTTTAAGTCTTACTGCGCTTAATAGGTCTGTACTGAGCCTTATGTATGAATTAACTGCAGGACTTTGTACCCATCCAGAACACAGTTGTTAAATCTTCATTATCAGCAGAAAGACTGACACAGGTGTTTATTCACCTGAAGGATATTTATACTGTAGCTCTGTGATTATTTTATTTTGACACAAAAAGTTGTCACTTCCATTTTGCATTTTACAGGTATAATGAAAACAGGAAAACAGATGTAATGAGAAGAAATGGTTCTCAGTAAAATATATTTTCAGGTCAAGGACATAAATTCCAAAGTATTTTTTTTTGTATATGAGCTTATTAGACACTTTATCTTAAAATACCATCTTAAACAATGTAGACTATCAACTTAGATTAATGAATACTTCATGATTATTACATATACAGTAAATATCCAGTACTCAGTTAGGGGCTCTTTTGTAGACAGGACTTTGCTCTTGGATTTGCTTCTGGCTTTGGGATACACTGATGAACACAGACCTCCTGGAATAATCCCAGATCTGTAATTAGTTTCTGTTTAACACTATGAGAGAATGGCCTTTGACCCCCTACAGGACCTGATTGTGTCAGAGGTCAGGGTTCAGCGCTAGTGCACATTAGCATGCAGGTGAAAGCTGCAGTACCAGATAACTCAATCACGTCTTTCATGCAGAGCTGCATGTGGTACTGTTCACTGCAATCTTTTACATTAAAATTACTTTAGAGTGCAACATAAGGAATGCTTTGATTGCCTTAAAATGCTGTAACATTGAAAGATGCTGAGATTCATGTATCATCAATGTCTTTATTCTAAAACAGTTTTAGGTTCACACAAGAACATAAGAAAGGTTACAAACGGGAGGTAATTCAGCTCAGTTCCAAGAATCCTGTCTAGAGGTCAACATCTTGTACACAAAGGCTGGGTAACTGGTTATAGCCGTCTACCATAGCCTGTTGTGTGTAGAAGGTCCTCCTGTTTGCAGTTTGAATGCACTTCTGCACAAGTTTCAATTATGTCCTCTGGACTTTTTTTGAATGTTGTTCAATCTTCAATCTGTTGAATCTTAAGACATCCATTGGACTGACTGTGTGAATGCCTTTGTGGATTTTAAATCCTTAAATCAAATCCCTCCCCAATTTGTCAAGAAACATCCCCTTGAACAAACTCGGGTTTCCATATTTGTACATTATAAATTGGTGCGATATAATCTGTATAATCCAATACAGAGATGATATAAATTGTATAGTAATATTTAAAAAACATTTTAAAGGATCATTGTAGAAGTGGTTCTGTCACAGTAGCGTAGTTCTAGTTCTGTGTTTTCCATGCACGTTTGTGTTTGTATTACTGTGTTTTTTTATAGATTCAAGTATTTGAGAGCCAGGGTACTGTGGGCTTCTAAAACTGATGGTCAACGTTTGGCATGTGCATGCCCAGCCCCCCAGCCTCGCCCCTTCCACACAGTTCCTTCTTATGCACTAATTGACACACATTAGTGCTGATTTGGTGGAAGGGCATGATAATGTAACTCTGCACATTCCTCATTGGTCCTGCACAGCTGGCTGTTACAGCGTATCTCTGGACCAAGCCAGCTGCGCCTTCATATCCTAGGGCATGAGACTAACCTCCATCGGGGTCACTGCAGTTTTGCTCCAAACACTCAGAGCCCTTATTTACGAATTACTATTTATTACTTCTTATTCCATTATTCGGGCTTCTTTCATTTTCCATTAGCATGGAGTTCACATATGACTAATTACGTCTATGCTCTTATTAGTTAGATTGTGTTGCCAATTGTGTGACTTGGAGACAGAATCTGAAATATCTTGTACGTAAGCAAGTTTGAAATTTCTATCAGGCCTTATTTTGTTTGAAACTGATCATCCCTTCAATTGCAGTTGTAGGTGCACATCATTCTTGACTAATTAACCAACAACTGGCTACAACGCAAGTTACAAAGCTGCTTCCTGTTAAGTTTTGTACTCCACGTTTAATCAGGAAATGTAATTAAACATATCTTGGGAAGATCTTGAATCCTTTGTACACAACGTTACAAATATTGTCAGTGTCTTGTATGTTTTGCACTATATTGTTTTGGGTGAATCCAGATCCTAGGATCAGTGATGAACGATTTCCCTGTTTTCTGCCATTTTCTTTAGACAAGGAGACTCTGATCACAGACAGCGGGAAGTTGCACACCCTAGACCTGCTTCTGACGAGGCTGAAATCCCAAGGTCATAGGGTCCTTATCTACTCCCAGATGACACGAATGATTGACCTGCTGGAGGTAAAGGCAACATCTTTCTGTTGTTTTTGCTGGGGGTACAGAAAGCAGGCCGTTATTGATTTGAATATGCAGACTACACACTGTACAGATTGACTTCATTTCTCAAATCTGCCAAATGCAAAAAGCTGTTCGTTCGTTTCATTGCCTGTGTTTGCTGCTAATCTTTAATATTGAGAACCAAAAGCTGAGTGCTGAAATATTGACAAATGTCGGTATTTGGTCTGAAATAGACTCCTATAATGCTTTACTGGAGTATCTTCTAAGCTATTAAGTAGGCTCCAGTATGTCCTGAATTCAGCAGCCTCTGTACTAACTAAAAGTACTCTGCATCTACACATATCTCCCATCCTCTATATGGGAGCACTGGCTCCCTGTGAAATTCAGAGCTGAATGGAATGTTCCCCTTCACACATACAAGGCCTTAAACGGTTAACCTCCAGGTTATCTTAAGTACTTAGTGCTTGAGTGTAGCCCAGCACTTAACCTCAGATCTGACGATTCTGGCCTCCTTACTCATTTGAAAACGAGGCTTCACACACAGAGCCTTCTTATGTGCATCACCACTTGCTGGTGGGGAGGCCACTGTCCAAACCCACTAGGGATTTTCAACAGTCATTGTTTTCAGAACCTTCTTACAAAGATATTTCTTTTATTTAAGCTGTTAATGTCACCTAGTCTTACTCTTCACTAAGTGAATTTACTGCGCTTTCTTTTCACTCTCGTTGTAATTTGGACTGCATTTTGACTTTCTTGAAAAGCATTCAGATAACATTGTATTCTTCTTATTACTAAAGTATATCTGGTTGATGGATGTAAAAGAATCTTCAAAGCAAAATCAGTTCACATTTTACAAAAACAGGGATTTAAATACAGCTCTACTTAACACCTAAGTTGCCTAAATCAGTTTTATTTTAGTGAAGATTTTATTCTTTGTAAAAATGAGTGTTCAAGGGAGCTTGTGGTGTGATTTAGAATTAAGTGTTGTTTTTGGATCCAACGGGAGTTTTACAACACGTCACGTTTTCACCACTAGATGTCACTCTATGGGCCTCTTTAATTCCTTCACTGTTAATAGGCAGATACCACAAATATAAATCTCCTCACAATCAATAAACACATTGCTTTAGCACTGTATTTGTTTTTTTGAAACTATAATCATGAATACAAATAAAAGCATGAACATGCATATTTTTATTGATCCTTAATGATTAGTGGTCTACATTTTTGTTGATTTTACAGGGACATAACCTTCCTTTAAAATAGCAATTAGCACTCATTGAGTCTTCACTAGATTCCAATTTAGCAAAACCCTTTATCGTTATTGTCCATAATTACATTGAGTATTGCAGTTATGATTATTGTAAGACTCACTTCCCGTCAGTTGAAAAGAATATTGTTGGGATGTCTCGTTTAACAGAAGGTGAAAATACATCCGTAACCATATACGGGCGTATCATTTGGGGAACTGCAGGAGTGAAATGACAGGGACAAGTGGTCAGCATCACCTGTAAACTGTGCTTGAGGAGGTGAATAGGCAAATCAGCTCCTGAGGTGTTGAGGGAAAAGCAGCTTGGGCCTTGGAAGAAAAATAAACACCTTCGAAATGTGTTCTGTGTGTTCTGGCATAAATTGAACATCAGAGCATACTGGCTTAGTGTCAGAGCACGCTAAGTGTCTGGATACACACAACGTTATGGATTGTACGGTGACTATAACCTGTCTTATAGTCCCAAGTATCACCCAGTTATTTGATCAATAGATCCACACAGCGCTTAGATCCAAAATCAATATCATTGATGTGACTGCACGCTTTGGGAAAACGTCCATAGTTCTCCTGGCTATGCAGAGGTGAAGCTCCTCCGACTGCAAGGGGGTGTCGACCCTTCCCACCCCCCACTCTGCCTTCTGCGGAACACATTTATCAGTGTGGAAAATTGGTAATTAGTGTGGTCTCAGCTGCAGCGCTAGCGGCTCATTAGGCAGGTGTGTGAGCGAGTGGAAGAGAGCAGGGCACAGACAGAGGGAGGGAGTGGAAGCGTGCTACCAGACAAAGAGGGGAAAGGCTGCCTGGATTAGTGAAGTGCCCTGAGAGAGCAGCTCCAGTAAAAACAATACCCTCCAATTTACGTTAGGCAGCACCGGTCTGAGCCAGGCTTGTGAATGGACAGAATAGCAGTAACATATTGGCAATTGTGCTTACCTTTGGAAGTTTCAGTATTCTCTTTCTTCTATAATTTTTCATCAGATCATTGGATGAATTCCACTTTCAGCAGCTCTGTAGCGTGTTTTGTGCACTGAGGGTTGAAGGCTGTGTGTTTGATGGATTGTTAAATATGAGTGATTTCTGCACAAAACACAGGGGTTTAAGAAGCACTCTGGTGACATTATTGTTGTTTTCCTAGGGAGCTCGTAAGAACTGTTACTGGTGACTATTTCACGGTAAAAGTAAGGGTGCTACAAACGGAATATAAATATTGCCTTGACTAAAACCTTGAGAATATAAATATTGCCTTGAGATTAAGAATGATTATTTGGGCTCCAGTGATCAGCCAGACAGATTGCTGAGAGTCAGGCCTTTCTGTGGAGGACTGAAGAGTGACAAGAGCCACAGACATTTACAGCCATGCCATTCATAGACTCCCAAACAGAAAAGAACACACAACAGAAGGACCAGACCATTATAGGATGTGTGTGACATGCGCATTGTTTGAATGGGTTATACTAGGCTCAGTAAAATAAAACACCTGTGATGACCTGGGCAGAAAACGAAAACCAGGTACTGTGAATGACTATAACTCCTTTACTGAGAGCAGAACCCTGGAATTCACTTCCAAATGTGAGAGAGACCAAGGGCTGTTTGAAGTGTGTGGTGAGCTGCACTGTGCGTGTAATCTAATTGAGCTTTCACATGTAAGCCTGCTCAGACCCAAGTCTGGATAATGGCATCAGCCATGTGTTTTGTATTTGCTGATCTGTGTTCTTTTGTTATATACTGTGTGCATTATGCTCTCTTACAGTACCCAGGGGAATACGTCCTCTACTGAAAAAAGTAAATCAACAGCTGTGGTTAGGAAATAAAAAGGTCAAAGAGTGTTTATCATGTTTTTTTTTTATTCTACCATGCTTTGTACCCATTTTAGCAAGTGTGTAAATGTCTTATATAATATTTGAGGAAATATTTTTGTACCATTTAGTCAGTATATGTTAAAACAATTGAAAGTGAATTTATAGTGTATTGTCAAATATAATGTTAAAGTATATTGCCGAACATAAAATCTCAAATTGAAACTGGTTTCAAACAACGTTGATAACTTGAGCATGATACGTTATAACTTGAAGGCAGTAGTTACAAAATGAACATATCATTACATGAATGTTACAGACCTGTTGGAAAACAGAACTGAAATTTGCATTCAGAAATATACACCCAAAACTGTATATTACAATGAGTTTCTGCTTATTTGTGGTTCATATACCTAGAGATGGTGTTAGTGGGGAAAGAGGATATGAGTCTACCTGCTTGATTGTTTTAGTTTATTCACAGTCAATGCAAATCTCAAGAGCTCGGCTTCCTTTCTATTGCCATAGCAATGAAAGAGCACACTGAAGGATCATATTGTACTGGTTAAAGGCCACAGTTTAGCATTGACTCTGGGGAGACTGAAAAAAAGGCAGATAAGTTTGAGGAAACAGATGGGTGAGTGGTGAATATCTGAATGGTACCAGCATGTGAGTATTCAGTATAAAGTATTTTTGTCTAGTTCTCAATTATAATCAAGAAGAGAGCTTGTCTGGATTTCACACATTAAAGAAAAAACATGTGGAAATGCTGAAGTCATTCATAACAATCTGTATATTCTTTTTAAGTATTTTATTTAAGAACAGACAGTATATTCTAAAGTGTACAAACTATTATTGTATGAAGCAGGAATTCTCAGTTTGCAGGTAGTAACATGTGACTGTTACTCACTTTGTTAAAATCTTTGCTATGGGGGAATATGATTTCTAGACAGGACTGACAAATGGTTTCTATTGAGCTACTCAGACTAAAGTTAATTTAAAAGTTGTTTGGCAAGTTCTAATTCCAATAAGTTGTCTGTGAATCATTATATCTGCAATTATGCCTGGCTAATGGTTCATATTTTTATAGCTTATTCTGCAGTGCATTATATCACCACCAGATGATACAATAACAAAGTAATGGAATTAAAGTTTTTGATTAGAAACCATTTTTAACTATAGTGATTTGATGATTGCAGTCTCCAGTGCACCAGTGCAATGAGCTCCACAAACAAGGAGTCTTTTGTCATAACCTGAAGACCTGAAAGAGTAGTTCTCATATTAAAGGTGGAATTATACCTGTGCAATATAGCATGTATTTGTGATATCAAACATATAGTCATGTTATGTTCTAGAGAAGATATCATATAAAAGGTAAACATAATAATGTGCTATAGTTTTGCAATTCAGTTACCTCACTGTTTTGTATGAGTTTTTTTATTACGTTTTTTTTTTTATTTCCATTGTTCTTATTTCCATTGTATTTAAACAACCAAATCACCTTGTATGCAGATGCATTGTTGGATTGGGGACACAAACTTATTAAGATGTCTATGAATAACAGACCCATGTCTACAGTTGTCTAAACTTTTTTAAGCTCGTGGTTGCCCTTCACTGTTCTGGAAAACTATATACAGCAGGTATGTAGAGTAGATCACTCGGAAATCAACAGGGTATAAAGATGTGGAACAATTAACAACTACAATAAGGCATTTGTTTAAAGACGTAATTGAGATATCCTTTGGAGTAATATAATACACACCCCGTAGCATCTAAAGACGTTTTCCACTCCTGACTCGACAGAGCAAATTACTAAATTGTTGAAAAAGTAAGTCATGGTAACTTCACCATTGAAAGTGACATGTATATCCTGTTGAACTGTTGCTCTCCGGGACTAGGAATGACAATATCTGGACTGTACCAGGTTTAAAGGAAAATATAGACCACTACAAAAGATTTGTTCTTACCAATGAGAATGAGGGTTGTGTTACTGACACATTGTAGTCTCTGATTGTTTAGTGTTGAAGATGTATAAAGCAGTATAGGTAACACCAAATGCTTGTACAGCTCTTTAAAAATCTGGCTTAAACACATATATTATTATGCTTTTTAATCTGTCCTCATCTGATAAATCAGTTCAGTGCCATTTCTCAGTAAAGCCAGAGGGTGGCTGCCTAGGTCTTTCAGTCCTGGTTCTAAAAACAGCATTATTTGAGAGTTCCAGTAAGTGTCTGTAGCCGACAAGCTGACACTTACATGTCTGAAAGAAAACTGTTTTAATAAGCTTTTAGCTATTGAACGTGCTAATTCACTTTTCTGTAGCAGAAGATGTTCTTTTGGGAGAACTGCCAAGCCCAGGTATGCTGAAGAGATTTTTATTTGACAAGAGGCAAGTTTTCATCAGCACTGAAAGCATCATAAGAGGAGAAAAAGTGGTTTCTTGGCAGAAGACAACCAAAAGCAATTCCTGTGAGATTTACTGTGGATGTTGTTCTGTGCCAGACAGAGCAGCAGAAAAATTACAGGAGCCAGGGAAGAGACAAGCATTAGTTCTCGAGTAGACAATCAGCCATTGACTCATATTTTAAATGCTGAGGTTTCCTTTAAGAAAACGGATGCCTGTGTATATCTTAAATATTTCATTTGCACCCCTTAATGAATCTCTAGATATCGTGCGGCTGAAATAAGTAACGATTTTCATGTTTTTAGCTACAGATGTTAATGTTTTTTCAACTGCAATCCTTTTCCTTGTGTAGTTATTCGCCATTTTGTTTTTATGGGGTTAAAAAATAAGGCACAACAAGGCAGTAATGGGGAAGCCTTAGGATGCCCAGTCCAATCAACCGTGCCAGTTCCACTCTTCATGGAGATCGTTTTTTTCAATCCACATGCAGGAAAATGATCTCTGCTGTAGTGGATTGAAACACTGCATACAGAAAAATGCTCTCAAGGGTAAATGCTATGTAACGTGTATACAGACTATGGGGTTAACTAAATGTACTACACCGGCTTGTTGGTTTCTTTTTCTTTAATTGTTGCCTTTTCCTTTCCTTTTTTTAGGAGTATATGGTTTACCGTAAGCACACTTACATGAGACTTGATGGCTCATCGAAGATTTCAGAAAGGCGTGACATGGTGGCAGACTTCCAGAGTCGGTAAGTAACAGTCCGTCAGTGAAATACTGATTTTCTTCTGTAAGGAAATACTTTCTCTTTATTAAGGAAACAATGGTCAGAACGGAATTGTGGTGGGCAGCCATGTGCAAATGTATAGTTGATGGCATTGATGACTGCCTGTCTATCTAGTATTTTTGTCAATGAGTAATCACATAGAAACCTATCAGTGTTACAAGAATTGCATTAAGATTGTAATCCGAGTCTTATTAGAGTTCGAATCTCAAAAACTAATGTAATCAGTCAGGTAGGTTTTTTTCATTAAAGCTGGATTCCAGTCCGAGACTTGGCTTGGATAATTAAAATGGCAACATTACAGCAGATACTGTATTTATATATATGTTCCCCAGGTTGCATATTTTCTTAGCATATGTTTGGCATAGAAAAGTTATCTTGCTTGTAATCTTTGAACCACACATGTACACAAACATCTTTTGTTGAGACAGCTGCCCATTGTGTCCATATTTCTTCTTTACAGGACAGATATCTTTGTCTTCCTTCTGAGTACCAGAGCTGGGGGCCTGGGAATAAACCTGACGGCTGCCGATACTGTAAGTCTGTGTTCCTGTTTCTCAGTTCTGACCGGGTACTTTGAACACACTAACACCCTGAAAAAAGAGAGAAGGGAGAATAGATATAAATGACAACTTGAGTTCCTGTTTCCTGTTTCACATCTTGAATTGAGTGGTACCTTCAGATGATTGAATATAATAAAACTATGAGGGTTATTAATAAAAATAGTCGCTCTGCCATTAAATCAGTGGGTGGAGTTTTACCTCAGTTGTCAGTATAAATAACATGACAGTGAGGCTATGGCTGAAAATTGCTTTAAAAAGTGATGCTAAAATAAACATTAAAAGCTGGTAACCAAATGCTGCTCCACGTATTCCAAAAGGTCTTGGTTGTGCTATTCAAATACATTTTACAAAAAAGGCACAAAAAAAATGATATTGATATTCCAATGTTAGGGAATAGCTAACAGGAACTTGAGGATGAGAAAATTATCTGGAGCATTTGGCCATATTCACATGATTTCAAAAATGTGAGTGAAATGGGTATGAATTTAAAGACTCCCCAAACATCCTTACAATGCTTATAAATTGTTTGTGGTGTACACAAGTAAACATGAAAATAACAAGTACGCTACCTGCCTACAACAATACACTATTGCGCATGGAAAGGTGACTACCATGCCAGTACCATGTCCACCCTGACTATTAATTGAAAAAAGGCATTGTTAGTCAACCATCCCGTGAGTTTAAACTCGCAGTGAGACGGTACCAGCTTTAACTGCTGGGATATGGCAAACACCTGTGGCTTTTGACTGTTTGGCTTCATCTGGGAGCTCTGCCCCCGCTGTCTCTTCAGCATGACGGCCCTTCTGCGTGCGTTTCTGGAGGCTGACTGGCAATTTGTGTCGCAGGTGATATTCTATGACAGTGACTGGAATCCCACAGTAGACCAGCAAGCCATGGACCGGGCCCACAGGCTAGGCCAGACCAAGCAGGTGACTGTGTACCGGCTGATCTGTAAGGGGACCATCGAGGAGCGCATCCTGCAGCGCGCCAAGGAGAAGAGCGAGGTACCCTGTGGAAACGAGTCCTCTTTATTACAACTATATTAACGAGCAAAATCGTAAAAAGGAAAGGGATACAGCAGCACTGGAAAGCACTGGCTAAAATTGCACCTCAAAATATTACAAATTGCGTATCCTCATAAAAATCTGTGTATTTACTGCAATCTTGGGCTTTTGCCAGCTTGATTTATACAAGGTGACATAAATAAGGGTACTTCTGGATACCCCTCTCCTCTGTCCTTTATTCAAAGCATGCTTTACGCCCTAGCTATGATTTTCAAACCAGTTGAGCTCGGCGGTTTGTTCTTTTGGTGGACATTTTACTTAACTATTGCTTTAGAAGGAGTAATAATGGTTTATCACAGTTACAGAGGACCAGTGTTTTGACATTCTCCTGTTTCCTTTCATTTAGATCCAGAGAATGGTGATCTCAGGTGGCAATTTCAAACCAGACACACTGAAACCCAAAGAGGTGGTCAGTTTGCTGTTGGATGATGAGGAATTAGAGAAGAAGTGTAAGCTATTGCTACTGTTTACTCTTTAGAATACACTTCTGGTGCCAACTTAATGGTTTCATTCAGTAAACTCTCTGCATACACTGCCATTCCTATTGTAACATCAGAATCTCATAGCTCACAATAATTGTCTAGTCAGTATAATCCCATCCAAATCCTAGAGAAGGATTTACAAAATAGTAACTACAGGGGTATGAATAAATGTTGCTATGCGCTGTCCTATTATGATTACAGTATAACTTTAGTAGTATGACACTATTAAAATATTTTATTAGAATTTAAGTGAGTACACACTGTCTAATCTGTAACTCCTTTGTACTATATGATGTTTTTCGTTCCTATTTCATTGGGGTTATGAAAAAATCTGGAAGGCAAGTTATAACATTGTAGCCTTGCACAGTGAAACCAATCAAGCTAAATCAGCATTTCCATACCCACTGTATTGATGGACTGTATCTCATCAAGATGTTATAGGCAAGAGACAATTAAAATGAAAAGATAACAAAAGAACATTATCAGGAGGTTTGATGTGTAATTATTGTGCTTCATATATCCACTGAGTTTAAACTCATTACACCTTTTATCTAATTAAAAATTTTAGGTCACAAAGTAAGGCCTTGGGAATATCTTGTCTGGGGAATACTGTAAACTGTGCATGTTTATCCATTAACAGAACTAATCAGGTATATCTGTGGCAAGTCAGGGACATCTAGGGCAGATCTTGGTAGCTTCTCTACTGATCACATCTTAAAAAATGGATACTGTAGCGATGACTGATCATCAGAATAATGACAGGGAACATAACTACAGAACGAATTCCCATGAAGTTTTACCAACAGTGACAATCAACAGTTGGGCCAGGTGCTTTTTGATCTTTGTGGATTGTTTAGTTTTCTTCTGCTGTTGCCTCTGCAGTAAGACAGCGTCAGGAAGAAAAGAGACAACAGGAAGAATGCAACAAGGTGAAAGACCGCAAAAGAAAGCGAGAGAAATATGCAGAAAAGGTACAAGAACTCACACCACACAGAATTTTACTTTCTGTTGGTGAACTATGCTCCTTCATCAGTGATGATGCATAAGGTTGTGGGTGTGAATCCTCTGAGGTGGCTAAATGAAACTGTTAACCTGTCTTGTAAAACCCCTTTGGTACCATTTAAAGTTTTGCTTCCTTTATTGTAATGGAAGCAATGTCTCATTAACTCTTGCAGGTCTCTCCAGAATAGGACTAATGTTAATTTGTTCAATAAAGTGTTGTTAGATTTAGTTTATTCCATTAAAATCCAATATGTACAACAAATAGGAAGAAAAAATAGAAAGAAAACATCTTTTGACACTAGGGTAACATTCAGGTCAGAACTGCCAGGTAAAAACCTATAAAAAGTATTAACGAGATGGTACTGAAAGACAAAATTATCATTGTCAAACAGAATACAGATTTTAAAAGAACAGCAAATGCAAGAACAGGTTATTAGTTCAAAAAAAAATCATAGCACCCATGCTCTGTAAATAACATGTATTTTTCATATTTATCATTCTTGGTGGCACATTTTCAAACAGTAGGGATAGATCTGGTGTTTTTTTTCTTTCCAGAAGAAGAAGGAGGATGAGGTGGATATCAAAAAGAGAAAGGAAGGAGTGAATATTGTCATTCCTTTCGTTCCGTCTGCAGACAACTCCAACCTTTCTGCAGACGGGGATGACTCCTTCATCAGCGTGGACTCTGCAATGCCCAGTCCATTCAGCGAGGTGAGCTGGGCTCAGATTACTAATATTTAGGGATAGATTATGATTCAGAGTTACAGTCCATGTACACTGCTACTTGTATGGGGTCTCGTTTTACTTGTAGATCATATCATAACATACTCCTTATGTTCTCCTACTCTGTTAGCACTGTTTTTTTGTATCTGTGTGAGGATTGCCCAGAAAGAAGTGACAAACTGTTGCTCTTTGTTTTCTCTGGCAGGTCTGTTTTCCTATTCCACAAACATACGTTACCCGCATGTGAATGTTCAACATGCGGTCTGTTACAGTTCACACAGAACTGCAATGTTTACAGGGAATCAGTATGTATTGTGGTAAATCTAGTGCTCTATTGCAGAAATCCTGAGAACACCGAAAACAATTAAGGAAAGCTGGAAATAATGCATAGTTTCATTTGTAAAAACAGTTATTTCTTTGTCCGTATGGGTGTAAGATGTAATTATATGTAAAACAATGTCTCATATTGACATATATTTTAGGGGCAGGTGTTATTGAGGAATTGTGTTCAGCCCTAGAGGTCCTCCCTGCTCCTGGTCTCACCCTGGGCGCTGCCTGTCTTTGTAGATCTCTCTGAGCAGCGAACTTCAGCCGGGCTCCATCCCCCCGGATGAGAGCAGCAATGACATGCTGGTGATCGTGGACGACCCCATGTCCTCTGCGCCTCAGTCCCGAGCGACCAACTCCCCCGCCTCCGTGACGGGGTCCGTCTCCGACAACATGAACGGTAAGCAAACGGCTCCGTGGGATCAGTTCGCGAACAACCCGCTCGATAATGCATCACCACGGCTCAAGAAAACCTACACAGAGACCATCGCCAGAAAAAAACAAGCTAGGGTTATACTGAAAAGCCTGTGTTTAATAGTAACCTTCTAAAACCAGCGGCTGTGTTCATTTTCCGTGATGTTTCCAGGTGTCTCTACTCAGGACACTTCCAGTCCCGGGCGCGGGAGGTCAGGCCGGAGCCGTGGGCGTCCCAAGGGCTCAGGAGGAGGGACCAAGACTGCTGGGAAGGGGCGGAGCCGCAAGTCTACCGCAGGCAGCGCGGCAGCCATGGCCGGGGCCATGGCGGGGGCCGCGGCTGCTTCTGCCGCTGCTTACGCTGCCTACGGTTATAGCGTATCAAAAGGTACGTCAAACACCCCTCAGCATTTAGGCTTCTAATTCCGTTTGCTCTGGCTGGCGACAGAGAACTCCGTTCCTTTTGGGGTTTGTATGCAGAACAGCGCTATCGAAGTATAAAGCGTAGTTGCCTTTTGAAACATCTTGTACTTTCCAGACGCCTGCATCAGAATCATTTCAAGAGATTCTTTGGATGCCACGTGCAGCAGTCCTGTACTAATTTCACATGTGCTGCACAAGCAGACCGATACCAGATGACAGTTCTTACCCCCGAATGAGAATTAAGATTTGGATCAGCTCATGTTCAGAAACATCACCTCGTGTTTAATGAGCTTTATTCCTCCTGGGAACTTGTTAAGGTGGAAGTCGAACGGTAGCCCCATGTGTTGTGATGGTTCTCCTCAGGTATTCCTGCTGGAAGTGCTCTGCAGCCCTCCCTGGCACGGTCCTCTGGTGCGTCGTCCTTTGTGCCAACAGGAACCTCTTCCCCGCTGAGTTCGCCGCAAGCCAAGAGCGGCGCTGTCCCGCCCAGCCCACAAACCCTGAGTTATACCAGCACCCACAATCCCCCGACCCCAACCAGGAAGAGCAAGGGACCCACTACGCCAGGGGGACGATAGCAAATATCTGCTCTTGCACAGCCGTCTTCTGTAAAACATTCAGCCCCATCCTTCACCGGATTAATTTTACATGGAGCCCCAGTGGAAAGGAAGTCAAGAGTCCAATTCATATTCAGTAAACCAGGAACTAAAGTTTAGAACAGTACGTTCCTCAACAGAAAAAACGTCCCAGACATGCTCTACCATTTCCTGAGAAGCAGCAGTCTTTCGCAATGGATTACAACTGAGGCCTGCTGGGAATCAGAGTACCCAGAGGAATGTGTGAGCTGGATTTAGCAAACAGAGCACTTGAACTGAACAGCTCTGTTGGAATAATGTGCTTTTCCCCAATGTGTTGCTTTTCTTTTTTTTTTACCAGTGTGTGTACAGGTCTTCAAACTTTGCCTCTCTTTTGTTCTTGCGTCTTGCAAGATAATGTAAAGTTACTTGCCTTGTGAGAAACTATTTATCAGTTATGTGGCACCAGTGTCGAGTCGTGAAATACTGTTTGTATAGTACACGAGCTGCCACATTGAAGAAACTAGTCTTCATAAAAGGGCTAATAAAATTGAACCATTTCCATCAAGATGCTTTCCAGGTGCACTTGTGGGTGAAGTATTTATTACGTTGCTTTTGAAGCTGTATTTCAAACTTTAAAAATGTTTTTTTTAACTTCCATTGTATGTCCATTGTAATTTCCTCAAACACCTTAAACACAACAGTCCTTTGCGTTTGTTCAATTATTAGGAACTTTCTTTTGTGCTGTACATGGACCCTTTTTATAGGTTTAGTACGAGGTGATGTGTAACAGAGCCTTCTGCATTTCTGATAAGAAAAATGTGTGCTACAAATTATTTCCAATTACAAATGTGGAAAATGCAGCCTGAATTGTTCATTGTCGGCCTTCGTGGTACATAATAACCCAAATTTGTGCTAGGGCACTGCTAGCTGCATGGAAAAGGCTTTTACTTTTCAACTTTACCATTATCCAAAACCTGCTTTGAATTTGTGATTGTTGCAAGAATCTGGTGTTTAGAAGCTTAAGAGAAGCATTCCTGGGATCCACATTCAGAATAGATTGTATTTAGTACTTATTTGTAATCTGTTGGAATGCAAAAATGGGAAAACAGTCCAGGAGGCATTAAAAAAAAACAATATTGATAACAATATTTGATTATTTGTTTTTCAGTAGCTTAGATAAGGTATTCTAACTGGAGCAATGTAATTACGGTTCAAAGACACCACTTAAGGTTAAAGCCATTGCAATTAGTTTCATTGCTGTTCTACAGGGAGCTAGAGTGTGAGAATTTATATGAACTTCTGACTGGCATTGTCACAGCAAGGCCCTAAATTGCCGAAAATGTTTACTCCTGTCAAATAATCAAATAGATGTTTGTATTATAGTCTTTATTTTTTTACAAAACGAAATATCTGTTGAATATTGTACCCGAAATCAGCAGCAAGTAGGACTGATCTCAATGGAAATAAAATGAATCTATGTAGATTTTACGTTTAGATGAAAACACTTGGAAGAGGCCTTTCTTAATATTGTTTTACACTACTGAAAACATATGGACCGAAAAAAAGGATCAAATATATTTTTGTCACTTTAAACACATTGGAAATGGTAGTTTTCTAGGTATATAAATGGAAAGGGTATTTTTAAATGTACGGACTGCTAAGAAAGCCTCACTATTGTTGAAAGGTTTTAACTTCACCAATCACCAAGTAATTGCTAGATACATGGATTATCAGATGGATCTATGGTAGAAAGCAACTGATGGAAAACTGTTAATGTGACTATTGCATGTAGTGAACCTACTTTTTAATCAGGAAACGTTAAACCTAAATTAAAATTTTACAATCCTAAATTTAGATAAAATCCAGTGTTCATTTCACAATACAATGAAGACTAGATGCCACATTTTTTTTTTCAATTAAATATTTTGTTTGCTGCCTGAATTCAATGTACATAGTTGGAAGATATTTCTCCCTTAAAATTATTTTTCCTTTTATGTTTGTCTATTTTTATAGATAAATGTGTAAATATGTATAAACTGTCCTTTTACTAACTGGAGAAACAAGTTCAAAATAAATGCTAGCTAATAATTTTAAACAATGTGCATTCTTGTTTCCTATGACGTCCATGAAATGTTCGTCGGCTGGACATTATTTCTTTTTTTGACGTTGACTGCCTGGCTGCTTGCCCAGCACCAGACGGATTGGCAATCATTTAAAATATTCTGGAAACCTGAGCGTTATGCATATATAAAAGAGGTGGTTAAATATTTCATGTATGGTCAGAAAAAGCAGTCCCGACACCAGCTTGTTGTCGAAAAATGAACAAACAGTCTGGAAAGACGGATGTGTTAGACAAACTGACACACACATATTTACAGGCGTACTGTATTTACAATAGTAAATAGTGATAGTGAGTTCTGATCTCACTACAGCGGTTGCAGGAGAATGACGGGTTTTAAACTAAGATGGAAAGGTTAAAACTGTCGTCTCAGCCTACTTCTGTTGACCAACATTAGACCTTTCCTAAGGCGATACTTTTACACACGGCCTGTTACCCTAGCCTGGTACAACTAGGACATAACTGGTCATCAATTTTGTTTAACACAGTATATGTTGATCCTAACACTGAGAACTGGCTTACAGCCAAGGAACATGCTGTTCTTCTTTAGTTCATCGTGTATCTCCGATTCATTGGAAGAGACGCTTGCTTCTCAGTAGGTAAGAAGGTCACATTCAAACGATGTGTCGAAATCTCCCCGCTTGCAGTACAGGAGCCCATGACATGTGTTGTTCATTTATTAAAAACATCCAGGGCTGCCAATTGGAATATCCGGTTTTCCAGCCCGTCCAGAGATGTAAAACAAGCCTAAAAGTAGGCCAATCCTTGAGTAATTGTGATGCGTTTGGGCCTGAGCATTGTTTTAAATAATAATATTTATATTAATATCAATGAAATAAGGTTATTTATAAAATGTTTACACTTCGACAAAAAACAGATCTGTACATAGTCTTTTCAGTCTATCTTTTTCGTAACATATCGATACGAAAGCAATTCACTGTTTTAGTTCAGGATCTGACTCCACTTATGCTCACAGTTTCATTATATATATATTAGATACTTTGCCATCTTTCATTGTGGATTTGAATTACACACTATTACATGCAAACAATGACTCTGACAGCCAATGTCTGGGGTCTGTTTCTATCACCTGACAAGTCTGCCATGCTTCCACGCCCATTACCCCTCTGTAATTGGTTGTTTACTACAATGAAGAAATCCTATTGGCTTTTACAATTGTCAATCAAGGATCTATGGTTGTGTAGACCTGATTGAACATGAAGCGTGTTTAAGGGAGACATTGTACTTACTGCTGTTTGAATTTTAGAACACATTGCGGCATTTAAACAAAAACGCATAATTGTACACTCACAGATGGTAAAATGTAGCTCAAAAACATATTGAGGATTTTCGCTGAAAAATCCCTCTCTATTGCATTACGAGTTTGCTGATTAATGCAGAACTTAAGGTATGTCATTTGAAGGATTAGTGCAGTTACTGTACCTTACCCGCAATAGAAAAGAACACAAGTTTCTCAACTTGTTTAAAAAATAAGGGACAACATACAGAACACATATCTGTGTTTATTGCAATGGCAGAAGCCAGATTTTAAGTTATTTTCGTGATTTTATTTTTAAATTTATATTTCCAGTTAATGTAACAGGTATTTCCACAGCTGCAGTTAGCCTGCAGCATTGTTTGTAACAAAATGTTCAAAAGACGAAAACACTCATGCAGTAACGTCACGAAACAAGTACAGGTGTCAATTATACAAAACATTTTGGTTTGCTAAAATGCTGGTACTTATGTTATGATGAGATATTTGTTTTTACAAATGCAAAAGGTGAAATTAGAATTAAGCCAGTGCTTGCAGTGCTGTGAAACGATAACATATTTTAAATTTATATTCACAATATGTATACATGCATATGTATGAACAAAGAACACATTCCTTTGAAAAGTGCAGTACCATTCCTAATTTGTCTTTACTATATTGTTTTTTTTTTCAGGTTAAGTTGGATACAAGCAGCAGGTATGTAGGCAAATTAGAATATAACTGTAATAAACCCAAAGAAAATAATGCAAATCTAATGTTTTATGCGACTCGTTACCGTTGGATGAGCTTAAATTGATACGTGGCTTGTAGGCCGTTTTTGCATTTGAAGATCTGAAAACACTCCAATTTAAAAAGGTAATGTTTAGAGGTGGTCATAGCAACCTAAATTTTTGAGTTTATGTGCTTTATTAATGCTTACAATTAAGAAAATATTCAAGGACGTTTGTGGAACAAGCTTAACAATATGGGGGTATTGTTAAGAACGGGGGTAACATACGTTTATACATGAATCACACGAGGTATTATTTATATTTTTCACTCTTTAATTATGGAGAGAAAGTGTTCATAAAGTGATATTGCAATGCGTAGTCCTATACAGGTTGGCATTGTTTTTTTCTGAAAGTTACCGAACTAAAATAAGCTGCTAAATTAATTAAATAGCACTGAAACTACAATTGTAAACCAGATAAACATATTTTATGTTGCTCTTTTCTGTTTAGAAACTGTCAAAGTTAGGTGTTAATTTGGCCAGTAATTGACTGGTTTGACAGACCCGTTAGTTCTATACTTGAGGAGGTCCCTCATTTTTCTGTATGTTTTTATATGTAGGAATTAATTTCAAAACTTGGGAAAGTAACCATTCTTTGAGGTAAGACACTAACACTTCCAACACTCCAACTAACCATATGTGACCTAAGGTGTGGTTGTATATATGATGAGACTGATGAAACATTTGCATCAGTAAGCAGATTTTTAAAACAAAAGATCCAAGGGAATAACCTAATTAAAACAATCACCTCTGGTGCACATTTTCCAGAAATTCTGAAGAAGAAAAGGTTTTAACATGAAATGACAAGCAGTGGTGTTTTAAGAAGACCAGTGCTGCATTTTGAGACACATTTGTTACAAAATGTAATTGTGGATTATATAAGTAGAGATGCTTCTTGAGGTTTAAGCACTGTTTTAAAAAATGTTGTAGTTCATGCATTGTTTCTGGGGTGAACTTAACTGACTTTTAAAATTCTGTTTCTGTGCACTTAATATTCTTTTAGTTCCAGGGTAGAAGAAGTCCAATTATACAATTTAACATTTATTTTGTATTTTTTATTATTACATACAATATAAAAAATAAAACTGACAATACAATATTTCCTTTTACAAGAAAAGTATATCAGTACAGTAAAAGATGTTTCTGTCCTACACATTTTCTTGAAGGGGTCATATAAAATTGTCCATCCAATTTAAAACAAAACATTAAGGCTATAATCCAGGAACAAAAACATTTGTATACCACCATAAATAAAAGCAAGGGTTATATCTTCACCTGTGGACATCTAATCAATGTTCTTTGTCAAAGTTAATCAATCATTATTGATAATTGTACCCCAGACCCTTGATCGTTTAGTGTTACTTTAAAACCTGAGGTGTCAACACAGCTCGTACAGCTGTTTAATCCAAGCATTCAGCTTTTGGCACCGCAGAGAGTACCCCTATAAGGAACAGTACTAGGATATATGAAAATGAAGATCATCAACCTTCCACTGTAACTTTACAATTAATTGTTTTATTTCAAAGGCTCTGACCTCTTCAACCTAGCAGCAAAAAAATATTAATACAACTAATATTGCACAATCCCCAGTCTTTTCAATAACATTTGAAATACACGTATTACTTATTACTGTTGGACATGCGTACCATACTGTTACACCAATATACAGACAATGGTTGATATGGTCCAACAAATATTAACCAAGATGGATATGCAGCTTGGCATTTACAGTAAATACAAGACTTAGCTTACAGCCAATATGACACTGAGAGCCTGTTTATGTTTGGATTGCTAAAGACATTTTAGTTAACGGATTCTGACACAGTGAGCATGTTTACAGAACAGGGATTGCCCGCTTTGATGTTATCAAGTATGGCATCAGGGAAAACATGGCAGCTTCAATGGAGAACAAATGGTCATCCTTCACTTCTGGGCAACAGACCCTCATGAAATCTGCTAGCCGTAAGAGGTATTCAATGTTATGTCCAGTTTTGCCACTGCTGATGGCAATCTGTGCTGCTATCTCCTCAGGACTGGCTGGCCCCAGGTAGATTGGGTTGTCAGAGGTAGCAATGTAAACCAGGGCCAGAATTGATGGCTCGTCATCGTCACGGGGGAAGAACTCCACCACTTTGGTCACGTAACCCCCCAGGACGTTCTCCCTTACATTCAGATACTTGAGAGACTCTTCAATCTGAGCACCGGTGACTTCGTAGGCCATCCCCCATGTGCAAGCCTGGAATGGCACAGAAACATGTCTGTAAGTACTCTTTCAGAAGTCATCCTCCCCTATCATTTGAAGATTATGAAGATCCTTGTACAACTATTCTATGCAATACCATTTACCATGTGAGAACCTAAGATGATACAGTACACGTTTTAATAAATCTTGCACATACAGTACTGGCTTTCATTTCACCTACTCAAATGTTAACATGTCTGTGATCCCTATTACATTACACTTAATCTGTTGAATACTATCATTTCAGTTAAAAATGTGTGTGAAACATGCTCTTTAAGGTACGTACTGTATTATTATCAACACTAACACTTTTAATTAAATTAGGTTGAAATGTTATACTCTTCCAATTCTCCTTTTCTTCTGCATATAACTAGTGACACGGTAGTTAAGTGTAAACTTTGCAGCATTAAGGCCTTATAATACCTAGAGCACCTATAATACATCAAAAATAGCTGCGGACTTAAACCATTAAAATCCAAACTCAAACACGATACCATAAATTCAGTATCTTTCTTATTTGGGTCACAAATACAGGTAACAGGAAGAGCCGGAAATGGAACACTTACGTCATGATCTTCCAGTAGTGTCACCACTCGCCCAGGCTACGCAGAGGAACAAAAAAGACAAATTAGTACAATATACTAAACACAAATTCATGGGTACAACAACGCAAGTTTTTTTTTTCCAGAGATGATGGAATTTGCTGATGTAATGGCTGCATAAATGTACAATAATGATCTGCATCTTTCATAGTCGGGAGGCATCTTTTTATCAATTGACAAAACACTAAAAGCAAAATGTCACAGTGACAATTAGAACAGATTATTTGATATGACAAAATACACTAACAGCACCATTAAAATGTTTCATGATTTAGGCGACGTTCCGTATGTGCAGCCAGAAGTGATGCACAGGACGACAAGTATTTTTAATGTGAACTGTCTTACCATTTCGTTACTGCCTCGATGAAAATTGTCTCCATGCCAGAATCTTCTCTTGTAACCCTGGATGTAGCCGACTTTACTTCTGCTGAACTTGAAGTCAGGCTTCCAAACTAGAGAACCGTACCCGAAAATCCACACACTGGATTTCGCTGTTGTTTCTTTTAGTTTCATTTTGGTTTCCTGATTGTATTACAACAATGGGGTGACAAGTTTAAATATTAATATTTTCTTCGGTCACGTAGCAGAAGCACGGGTGGCAAATGTCTGAGCCGTAATAATATTACGATGTGAATTTAAAACCGACTGTATCGCAGTTGGCGTTTTTCTGATGCAATAATGCAGTCTCTGTCGGTCTGTAGGATACCGAAGCCGAGGCATTAGTTTTGCTGCATTTTCACGTCTTCGGAGAATCCTTGCTTCTAAAATCGATGTAGTCGATTTTGATTTTTCCCCAGAAAAACACCGTTTCGTCTCCTGTTCACTTCTTCGCCGTTTCGTCTCTCGTTTCCTTCTAAAAAGTATGTTACAATAAATCAGAAGGTAGTTCACTTGTGGTTTTAAAATCTGCCGATCTGGGAGACTTCTCGGAGTATTGATGAAAGTCAACACCCTGTCCGTAAAACACATACAATACTTGTAGTATTTCTAGTTAAGACCAATAACGGTGTCACCACTGTCTGCTCGCCTTTATAATACCCAAGGGCTTGGCACATGTATTTGTTGTTGTCCCCCTTTGCTTCCTACATGATATTTTGGACGAATGAGATTACAGGAAAACCGGTCTTTAAATTCAGCACGTCCAATCAGATATTTATGCGAGAGTGTGAAAAAAATTAACATCAAATTGCTGAAATAGACATTTTTATTGGCGAAGACCGACGGCTAGTTACGCCTCCTGAGGTCAATGATTGGGCAGTTTGACTCTCCATCACGGGAGATCGATTTGTGAATGGTTGCAATTTCTGTCTTTAGTATTTATTATGCAGGTATTTGGCTGATGCAACTATACCAAGTGTTTCAGTCCTTCGCGGTAGTAGGCAAGGATTGGAGGTGTTGCATCAGATAATAGCGTAGCAGTTACTGCAGTGATCAAATGTTCTCAAGGATTTCTGTAACACCAAGTTAAATACAATTAAAGTGCAGAAAAAAGGTTTTACAGTTTTTATCAATTACAAAACATGAAAAATGCTATTAATAGTTAAATGTATAGAATACTAGTCTTGCTTCCTGCATACTACTGCTACAGTTACGTTCTTTTTCGGGAGAATGTCTTTATAAATATGAATTTACACTTGGCATTTTTGCCAAGTTAATTTCAGAAATAATAACCCCGGTAATGTATTAACCTGACCTTTATTTTGAATATTATTGTGATGTTCATAGCAAACTGTATAATACAGTAGTTCCACAGTTATATTTATATGAAAAAGCCTGGACTGAAAATGACGTTTCTGCATACTGATAGCATAACCAGTAGATATGTTTTTCACCACATTAGTGTAATATTAGGTACAAATATACTTTGTTCAGTGCTACTGTGCAACACAACTGTGTGTCAGATTACTTGCATACATTAAAATTAGCTCAACAGTCCTGGAATGTGTATGTTGTCATTTGGGTTGACATATTGTTGCTGTAGCAGTCTCTGCTATTTTAGAAAATACGACAGAAGCACATTCTTTTGATATAAAAAAAGAATTGAGAAATAAGGCAGTGCATTTTGCTGCGTTTGTTTTATATATTTGTCATCTAGTTAGCGCCTCCATATAATTGTCTTTTTATGATAAAGTGCTTATTTTCTTTTGTATTTCTAGAATAGGTGGGTAATACTGAATTGATGGAGATTATCATATGGCCAACAACAGTACATGTAAGAGGCTCAACTCAGCTCAGTGTCAAGCTCTATGTCTTTCCCCATTTTGACTGGATTTCATTATAAATCCAAACATATGCATGACCTTAAATTGGTAGGGTGTTAAACTAGAACGCATGCAAAAACTGTCCAGAAAAATGTTGTTTGGGCTGCAATGATTCTCTAGGTGGGGATACTATGTCTAGATAGATACTATGTATTCTGAATAACTGACATCAACAGATTTAGCTTTGTGCACTCATGGACCTGGGCAAAGCATAAGTAGCAAAAAAATGTCTGTGTTTGCTGGAGCTTCAAAATGCATTGTTTTCTGCAGTAAAGAGCAGTGTGGATTAGTGGTTAGGGCTCTGGAATGTATGTTTTTTTTGTTTTATTTCACTCAAACAGCTGGAATGGAATGCCCAGCCATACAAACATGGATGTAGCCTGAATGTTGGTTGCTAAGGTTAAAAGCTTTGGGCAAATTCATAGTTCATCCTTACTCTTTCACTGGTTTTACCTTTACTTCTACAGTGCATAATACAAGCTTACATTATCTAAAAATAGAAGCCTTAGCCAGCAGCATGTGACTTACCTGACTTATATTTGACCTCCATAAGCTCCTTAATGTCTGCACATTGCATTGGCATGTTCTCATCAGTACTTTACTGTCCTTTCTTCTGTTTTATACAGTCTTCAAGGAATGCCTATTTAAAAGATTACAGAACAGATCTGACTTTTTTTTAGCTTATAAGTACTGAACTGCTTTTAATATCTGTCTGTCTCTTTTATGCTAAGCAAATGTAATTATGCTATCATTAAATGTAGGCGTTTTTCTAGAGACAAATGCACTTCATCCTGGGGGCCTTCAGTCACAAGGGCGCAGGCCAGAACTACAAGGTATCTCCCTCCAATGGTTGAGCTAGTTCTGATGGAACCCTTTGACATCGCAACAGATATTCTTAACCCCTTACACATTAGATCTGATGGAACCCCAGGGAATACAGGGGAGACAGCTATGAAAAACAGGCTGGTTCAGCCTGGGTAAGCAATTAAAAGTCTCCATAGAGATCCTTTAGGTTTCTATTAGAATAATAATTCCCCCTCATTCAAAGTCTCTGGATATTTCCTAAATTAAACAATTGAATATTCTTATAAAAACAGTAGTACCCAGAACCATTACTATTCTAAAGTTGCTTACTTTATTTGATAACAAGCAAGAAACACAAAACCAAATGGAGCTGTGAATGTAATTAAATTTCAAGCTGTGATGTGAAGGGGTCATGGTTGATCTTTGTTTTGCTAAAATGTCAGACTTCGAAACTTTAGAACTTAGAACTAGAAGTCAATATAAGTTAAACAGCACACCATGTGAACTCAAAAGTGAAGGAAATATAAGTGGAAATTAAGGTAACCGAAAACCAGCACGCGGACAGTGTCAGAGTTCTCTTTGCTTCTTAGTGAGAAAGATCACCCCAGAGCAAGCTCCCCAGCCATTGATTGGATACAGGACATCATGACATCATTTGCATCCAGGCGCTTCCAGGTCCCGGACTCGCAAGGTGTGGAAACCAGGTGCAGAGCCTGGATGAGCATCAGCGCCTGGCTTTTAAGGTGGGCTGGGAAAAGGGATCAGGTGCACAAAAAAAAGTCTAAAGTGAAAGGGCTGGAGCACCCTTAAGGAGGGGGAACTATAATCGTGACACCAAGACAATCCAAAGATGATAAGTCTATCCACAACTCTCACCTCATCTGTACCATGATGAGTTCTAAAAAACTTCTGTGAAGCTACAAGTGGAGTTGAAATTACAAGAGTATCTCCAGGATCCAACTAGCAGCCTCACCAGCCCGTATGATATCCGTACTGGTTTGGAATTGAGAGCAGAGCCAATTATGCTTGAGGGATGGGCTGTTATTGGAGTACATCTATGTAATGACCAAATTACAGGATGGATTGTGGGAAAACATCCCACAGGAAAATCATGCTGCAACATGCCTGTAATGAATCATGTGGAGAACATAGCTATAACAGTGCAATTTAAGAAATGTTGAGACAATCATCGTATTGGCCAAATATACCATGACACGTAATGTATCATTTGTCAAATTGCTTTTTCTTCTCGAAGTTCTTCCCCTCCAAGTCAAAACACAGAACACATTTGAGGAACATGGTACTATTGTGCAATGGTCAAACATCCAGATCACCTGGATTGGTCCTGTCACCGAATCATTGATGACAAGATATGAAACAGGAATCGGTGTCATAATGTTTTATTTTTACTCTTTTCATTCATGCCTTTAGGAGCAAACATAAATTGTTTGATAATTACTTGTATAATTTCTTGAATCCTTTCTTGCAAACACAAGACTTTACTATCTTGGCAACATGATTATTTACATATTTTGTTTGACAATTCTTCATTATGTTCTGTGACTGAAAAATTATCTTTCCATTATGATAAACAGATCTCTTCACCACAAAACAAACACCTCAAATGTAATTAATGCATATCAAGCTCAATGCTTGTTTAGTAGACTAAATATAGTGATAATTGCAATATTAATCTGATTGTGTTTCAGAGTACATAATTGCATGTGAATAGCTATCACGTGATCAAAGGTTCTCTGTTGAATGATCTCTGCATTTTTTACTTCAACATTTTATATAGCAATTTCCGTATTATAGATGGTTTACCAACTTGTTAAAAGTACCTGTTAAAGATATGCTATATCTGGATTAAAAATGTTCCATTTGTATTGGGTATATATGTTTTAATATTTGTTCAGAATGCTCTACAGCCTAAGCTACTTAATATAGGCTTTCTTTCCTCAGCCTAAGACAAATAGCCGGGTATTTCCTTGCTAACCTATGCTTTGAGTAATAGTTTCATAGCTTCCCCCTATTTCCAAGGTACTTAGTGATTGAATGCAGTACATTTGTTAGACTTAAAAAAAATCTAGAACAAGTGCAAACACGGTAGTTATGCACTGCCAAACATTATGCTGCTTCTCTTATTTAGGGAATTCACAAGGGTCAGCAGCACAAAAGAAAAAAATGCAAGCTGTGCCTTGGTCATGGTATTTACTGTGCCTTGTCACGGAAGGACTGGTGGGAAAACCAGTTTTGCAACATTAAGGAAGTCGATTTTCACATCAGCCAAATATATAGGACTGACCTATATTGAATTATATAGATGCTGGTGCGTGTGGATAATTGCAGTATATGCCAAGTGGAACAAGAAGTAAACCTTTACTAAAGTATTGAATTACAGTATGCTTAGTGCTTTTTGAAGGACTTGAGTAATAAGTCAGAACATCAAAATAAAAATCACATGTATTGTTAAATACAGACTACAGTAAATGTCTAATTTTATTTAGAAAATTGCAAATATGGATGAATTAATAAGGAATTTTATTTATTAGTAATTAATATGCCAGTTTTAGAAAAATAGAATTAAGCTGATGGTATTAACGTCACTTTTTTCTAATTCCATACTTTAATTGATTCTATTTCCTACCCATTTGGGGGTGGTCTTAGAAATTCGTTGTTGCTGCTAAGTTTACTGTTTTAAGTAACTGTTTTCCATGAGATCTCAGGACATGACATGATTCTTTTCTATAAGAAAAGGGGCTCGGTGCTTTTTATTTGTGGGAATGCACATTAGTTACTTATGGAAGCCCGTTTGTTCTAGGGAGTAAAAAAAACCGCTCTATGGTATACAAAGTCGCAATTGCGAGATAGCATAGCGCGTTTTTTTTTACTCACTGGCGGAAACGGGCTTCCATAGTTACTTACTATCCGCCAGAATCTGTGCAAAAATGGGGCTTTGTAAGACTTTTGCAATTTTTCAGTGAGCATGTTTTCAATTATTTTCTTATGTTTTTTAAGGTACTGCTCTTTATTCAATTTTCAGAGCATTATTTCCTGAAATTATTTGGGAAGGGTATTTTAATTAGGTCAACAGTGACGTACTGATCTCAACTAAACCTGATGCTGGGGTACAGTGTAAAAAATCTCAGTATTGTGGTTTGACACCTAATGAATGCCTCCATCTTGAATGCATTGTAGGTGTTGCTCATTGCCAGTGTAACTTTATTGAAAAGGGCACTGTGAACTTACTAATACACGTCTTCCTTTCTTTTGTCACTATTTTGCTTACATTCTTTTGGATTTCCCTTTCATGTGCTGTTTGGCTTCCTCGCCTACAATAGCAGCAGTACAGACATCTTACTCCAGCTTTGTTTTTTAATTTTTTTTAGAAGACCCTCCTAAGTACAGGGACTCCTTTTCCATCCCTGTATGGATGGGTGTAGCTATGCAGAAAAGTAAGGCTGTCATTGCACTGGCTATGTGACATAGTGTTTTTTTCCTTTCAAATACAGCACGGTTCTCAGAGTTCCGCAGAAAAAAGCACTTCTAATGGTATATTACAGGTTGCCCGTGTGAAACGTTCAAGCAGTGGGAATTCCATTTGTAAAATATTTACAGCTGGGATAGTTGTGATATAGAACCACTGATGTATTTTTAACAGTGCCAGTTAACAATGCAAAGGCAGGAGTCCTGGAAATGTGCTTTCTAGGTCGAGTTGGGGGAAGTCGCTCAGTGGATTGGAGATGAACTTGCTGAAGGGGTTGAAAAACAAACGTTCTCCAGGAACTAAGGTTAACATTGGTTAGCTTTAGGTTAGCAATTCCTTTCAAACTCAAGTTTGTCTAGTTATTGATATTATTTATATAACATTTTATTAATTAGCCTTACACACGTAGCATACATGGCAAACATTTTCTATTTAAGTACGGTCTTAACTGTAATTTAATTAAATTGATTCAAATTACTAACTGAATATACTGTTCTTTATTGCCCCCTAGTGTTAATGAAACATATAACTAAACTGGAATTGTATAGGCTGATTCTTGATTTTACGAGAATTGTGTCGTGTTTGGTTATTTCCACCGCCTGGTATCAAGTGTTCCATGTTAATGCCGCACTGTTTAATTTAACAGTAACATGTTCTCTTCTATGCAAAATATTATGGTGCACGGTACTGTATACCAACCTTTTTGGAACATAACTGTCCGTACATGAGGATAAGAAAAGCTTCATTAACTTTTCCCATTTTAAAAATAAAAAGTTAGGAAAAACGATATGTGCATCTGACAGTCGAATTATAAAATTAGTTTTAATTGATGTGGTGCTTTATAGTGCTTTTCAGTGTTATCTCCTGTCATCGTATACCATTGGAAAGAAGGTGCTAGCGTTTACTTTACATTTTTAATTTTGAAGTGGTTCAATCGTTGCATAATTTGCAAGGATGTGCAACAACGTTTACAGAAAACCTTATTAGAAAATTTTATTTGCACTTCTTTATGGGAGTATTTCCTGAAAGAACAGCATTTACGGTAGTGTACTTTTATGAAAGAGATGCGTGAGAAAAACAGTTGGCCCGCTGCGTTCTGCATTTTAATCAGACAGGAAGCAGGAAATGATGTCACTTGGTAACAAACAGGATGCTGTGATTATAACACAATGAAAATGCTTGGCTGTGTGATGGAAACCCAGAACACAGAAAATGGGCAGAAATGGGGAAAACACACTCTGGGGGCGCGGTGTTGAGCAGGTTGCAACTCAAAAGTTTTACCAGATGACTGATTAGAATGATAACAAGTGTTTTGGCCTAATGCTAGAGGAAGCTCTACTAACTGCGTAAGATATCTGTTGTAGTAGGTCCTTATCCTTAATATAGTAATTCACAACAGTCTTATTGTTGCTAAAACAAGTTATGAGAATGGGGAGGTGTCTGATAAACAAGTTTGCATAATCATGTTTTGAAGTTTTTATTTTATTTCTGTAAGAGAGACACTTTTGTATTGTCAGTTGTCTCAGCAAGTTGTCCACCAATTGAGTTTAGTTCCTTTCTGAGCTGTGCTGGAACTGTTTTTTACTTGCACATTTCTAAAGTACACATAATGTAAACATACAGTACTTTCCTTTCTCAATGTAGTCCAAGGAGACTTATTTTATCAGTGCATCTAATCATCAGATATCATGATGTGCTGAGTATTATGCACAATAGTGACAATGTGTTTATTAACAAAATACATTTCCTTGTATTCTCACAATTGTGACCTACATACTTTATATCTTATATACAGTTATATAACATATCTGTTACTTTACTTAACCATAGTAAAGTGGTTATCCTGGTTGCCTTTTTCACAGCAAAAGATTGAAATCCAGCCCATACTCAACACTCCCCCAGTGGTATTTCATATGATGTTCCCTTCCTCTACTGCCCCCTCCAGAAGAATTACAAAAAAACTGTGCTTCATAGAGTTGCCCCATATATTATGTCAATGACAATCTATGATTTCAGAGGAAACAGAAAAGTCTAAACACTTTTTTTTTTGTTTTTCTGGAAGGGTGGAAAGGCAGAAAAGAGGACCATACATACTATGACCCCTCTACAGAAAACAGTTAATGAGGAAACACATCTTGGAAACCAAGTTGCATAGACTTGTGTTTTACCGGGTGTTTTACCGGGTAAAACCTCCATTTTTTAACTTCTTTATCCAATACAGGGACACAGAGAACTGGAGCCTATCCTGGCAAGCAGTGGGTGCAAGGCAGGGCACAGCTTTCCTCAAGAGCCTAACATACCATAACTTAACATACCAGTCTATTGAGTGTGGAAACCGGAGCACCCAGAGAAAACCCACACAAATACAATGGGAACATGCAAACTCCACACCAACAAACCCAGGGACCTGAGCTGTGAGGCAGCAATACTAACCACTATGCTGCTGGGTAAAACAACAGGATGTGAATTGTAATTCTAGAGGAATATGACAGGTGTGTTACTTAAACAGTTGTAGCTGCATGCTACTAGCTCTTTACTGTTGGGTACTTTTACTGAATGATTTTAACTTGTACAGTATCATGTTTTCTTGACTGTATTTATTTCATACAGACTGGTTTAAACATTTATTTTAATTGAAGGTTTAAATAGATGTTGACATCATGACCTGCCTCAATGTTTTTTTTGTATTTTACTTTTTCAAGAAGTTTGCAGTTTAAAGTCCCAGAGACTAGATTCTAGGTATATCGTAAGGTTACAGTGACTTTTATTTATGTATAGACTTTATGTGTTAGTCATTAATTTCTGCAGGTTTTAGGAGTATTGTAAGAAAAAAGATGTTCGCTTAATTCTCTCAAACTCTAAAATTCCACCTTCAGAACAGTATTTTCTGATATCATTATCAGACCAAAAGCAGCTATAAATATATCTGCTGACATTAATATTAGTATTAATACTGATTTCCAGGTTCCAGAAATGTAAAGTAATTTATATTCTATATTCTATATTTTAGAATACATATTTATATTCTAGGAAAGATTATCATGTTGCATAAGTCACTTGTGAAATCAGCTGTTTGTTTCAAAGTACAGTAACTGGGCTGTCACAGTTTTGTTTTACACACTAGCAACATCAGAAGCAGATGCCTTTCCCTTGCTTTTTCTTATTTAATAAAGGTACAGTCCTTCCCTAAAAAAAGTAACAGTCAAGTAACAGTAACAGTGCCTTCGCTATGAGTTATTAAAGATATTATAAGGGCATATGTACACAGGCTGTTCATGAATCTGAAAGCTTCCTTGGTAACAGCTGACCTCTCACTCAAGTCTCCTGTTGCCAAGGAAACCTCTTGATTCAAGAACAGTCTTTTTTGTGTAGCCTACCAATATATTGTTGTGTGTGTTTTTGCACTTTTTTGTGAAGGTGGTGTGGACTCTCAGACAATACACCAGCACCTGCCTTGACCCTCAAAGCTTTTTTTTTAATATGAATGTTTTTTTATACTTGAAAAGATGGCATGTTCTTAAAAGAGCTGTCTGTGATTTACCCAAATTTTCCAAAGAATTTGAAACCTACTGTATAGAACTTGAGTGCCACAGGAAAGGGATCAAGGTTTTATTTATTTCTGACTCGACGAAGATGTGGATCATTAACACCATAAAATAACCTCCCCTGGATCCAGCCTGTTAACATCTAGCTCGTGCACTTAAAAAAAAATCAATGATATTACATAACCCAACACTGTGTTGGTAAAGCTTTAGTTTAAAGAAGGCAGGGTGCACTGATTAGGACTAAATTCTGATCATACACAATGAAGTTAACAGCTGGAACAGGGGTGGTAAATGTAAAGTCATCCTAATAAATATGTCTAGATATATTAGCTCTTGACAGTGTAAGTGTGAAGTATGGAGATCTGCTGAAATCTCCTGTACAGTTAATGATATGCATTCCTAATCCTAGAGATACAATTGTTATTTTATAAGTCTGTTTAAAAGTGTACAAGAAGAAGCCATTCTAAAACAAAAACAATAAAACATTTAATTGGTTATAAAAAAAGAATAGATGATAAGTTTTACAGTAGCAGATGCCCCTAAATTGTCTCAAAAGCCCATCTGTGCCTGTAGTATGAAAAGCTTGTTTGAAGGTTTTTGATTTCTTTGTTAGAATTTAGGGAGAGATTCGTTGTGAAGTTGGCTTTAACCCTGATTGAATCCTTTGTGTTTGTATGTGTGTGTTATTTTGGGAGGGACTCTGTTCACCAGTTTGGGCTCAATAAGAAGAGAGGCATATGTTGGTTTTCAACACAGTGTAGTCCCTGACCTTGGAGCATCTGCCCCGCTTTGTTAAGTAGGCTCTTTTTTCCAGAATTTGCTTTTGGTTGTTTTTGTTTCAGAATTCCAGCTTAAGGGTTTGGTATCCGGGGAAACGGATTAGGATTTCGAGCTAATTTTGAACTAAATGAATGTGAGGGAGAGGGGGCGTGAGACACTGAAATGAGTGCTCAAGATCAGTCATTTTCTGGAGGTAACTGTAAAAAGACAGAATTCCTACCTTTTAAGTAATCGTGAGACTGAAGAGAATTATTATCCTCAGTTTAAAAGCCGCAAAAAGGCTGTTGCTGTTAGAGCATCTTATAAGAACCAAACTCAATATTCTGCATGCTGTTTTTAAATTAAATTTTCATACAGTAAATCTGTATAAATACACAGTTCTTCAAAGGCATTGAACACCTAGTGACGGCTCTATCATCTAGTATTTTGGTATGTTTTTGTGTAATTTCAATTTGCATTAGTCCTGTGTTAAGTTAAAACAAGTGAATGAGTACAAAACAAATATCCTTTTACGAACTGGAACTGAATAAACTAATTTGCATGAAATTATTTTGATTCTGTGAAGTTGAAAATATGTTGAAGTCTATATGAGACATAGGTGTGTTATTAAAGTGTTTTATTTACTTTAATAAAAATCTGTTCCGTTTATGACTGTTTATGGATTTTTACTTTGTTTTAATTTTCAATACAAAAAATCAATATATATTTTTAACCAATGTTACTATTTCAAACCTTTTAAACTTCCAACAGGAACAAATACTGTTGTTTGAAAAACTGAAGGAGCTAGTGCTGATTTTTTTACAACCATGTGCCTGTTGTCAGATGCTTATAAAAATTAGCAATGCTAAACTTAAAGTGAAGCCATGCATGTCTGTCAGTATTTTTAAGATCTCTGACACCTGTATGACTTGTTAAATCTCAACAATTCCAAACATAAAACTTAATGAGACCAACAAACATCAGTGTACCAGATATGTTTTCATTATTTAAAAAAACAAAAATAAATTCGTTTTTTGTTGACATCAACTTAAAAACTGCAAAGAAATAACATTTACATTTGTCAGACCTTTTTTGCTTATAAATATACATTATATACAAAATAATCTTATAAAACATAGAAAGATCAGTGCTTCATAATATTTAAATTAACTAGTGAAATACTAATCTTAAAAAATAATGTTACTGGTTCCGTAATTCCAATACTAATTATAGGCAGTCCTTGGTATGATAGTCACTTTTTGTCTTGTTTTCTTCCTTATCTTTTTGTATTACGGGCAGTGTTGCATAATAAGTAGTAAATTGTATTTTATCTTGAATCCTGCTGGCACAGCTTATCTCTCTCACAAAATCACTTTGTTTTTTCTTTCATACAGTAATGCAAAGGATCCAAAAAGAGTGGGGGTACAAATTCTATGTTCAAACCCATTTTAAGGCCTAGTGATCTGGGCTGCATACAATCTTCAGTGTCATTTCACACAGATGATATGTCAGGTCTCAGACATTGTTTTTATCAAACGAACCATCTCCAGTGTTTTTTTTTTTAATATTCTTTAGTGTTTCTTTTCACTTGGATGAAATCTGCTACTTTTCCTTTTTTGCATAGCACACAACCCCTGGGAAAGAATGGAAATGGTGCATTCCTCCCAGGTTTTCTTGCAGATTATCACAACAAGGTGGATTATCTTCAGAGGGAAGCTTCTTCCAAAATGTTTTCTTCTGCTCAGTTTGCTTTTCTTTCTTATGTTTGTGTTCATAATGAAGTCTCATTGTAAGTCCTTAGGGAACACACCATAAGTGAAGCATCCACCATTTCCTTCTCTCAGTCACTCATATACTGTACATTCCAAAATTTATTCAGAAAAAAAGTCATATTGCAATTTTGGAGCAGTCATCTGCTCTATCCAGTTTCTAAGTTTTTAAGAGCAGCAGTTTTATTTAAATTATTCCCAGTCTCAGTTTTTAATTTGTAAACAGTCCAGAAGATATTCCTCCTTGATAGTTTATTCACATATCTTCCGTAGTTTATACCTGTAAAAATACAGAAATAAATGAATTCCATGAATAAATGAACTTTCCCTCAATTATACATTAATATCCTACCAGCTATAAAACCTACTTTCACTGGTTCATTTTCACAGTGAACCAACACCGAACCAGATGTCAAACAAACACTTTTGCTTTAATTAATCAAAGAAACTGAAATTAAGGGTTCTGCTTTAACAGAAAAATGCTAGTGCTAGAAAAATGAATCTGCATACTGTTCTGCATATCTTAATCATACAAGGCCACAATGCAGTGTAATATGTCCAAATGTATTCGCTTTAAAATGGATAGCAAAATCCAAGTTAATCATATTGTTTAGTACTTGATAGAATTCTATATTTTAAAGTATTATGCTTATTATATTATGATTATGCTTACTACACACATATATAGTATACATATATAAAATGGTTATAGCAAACATATATAAGCTGAGGTATAAAACGTATGAAAGTTTGCATTGTGCCAATTGTAAGAAAAAGTATAAAAATTTACCTCTGTTGCTATGACACACTCATTCCTTTCTTCTGCTATTACAAACACAGACTGGTACATTGAATCTCTTGGGGAACATATCGTTGATATTCTACACTCAGGCTTTTCGCTGGAAAATAGGAATAATACAAAATGTCACCTTCAATTGAAATCAGAAGCATACAACACTGCAAATTATTGTTTACCAAGGAGAAAAGAGAAGTAACAAAACTGATGACATGAAATTAGAAAATATTTTTTTTTACAAAATAATTCAAGCATCTAAAAGAAATTAAGTAAATGCATTAAAAGAAGTAATAAGGCCCCATTGTAAAATAGTTTTAGAGGAAAATGTGCCTGAACCACACCTAATTTATCAAACCAACAAAGCAGTAGCAAACTATAAGGTGATGACCTGTGAATAGAGGTGGGGTTTGGTGGGGTTTGGCATGCTTTCTTGCTGGTCCCAAGTGGCCTATGGTGAGGAGAAGCAGTTCTTTTCTAATGTGTTTCAGGGGCTGACCAGGTCAAACACACATGCTGGTGTGTGTAACAGCCAAGCCTCTCTCAGCAATATTAATGTGATCCTTTTCCTCCTCGGTCACAAGAGACCAGAAGAAAATCAAATAAAAAAATACAGAGGTCATGAGGTCTCCCCCGTAAAACACACAGGCCACAAAAATCTGAAAATAATGTACTTACACCACCAGGACAGAAACTCTTGAAGCTTACCTGTACGTTCTAAGTGGTATTTTTTCCTCTAGACATTTGTCGCAATTGTAACTTTTATCCTCCTGGGACATATCATCTTTGAAGTCCTTGGCCGAGTTGTAGTCCAAATGGTAGTTCTTATGTTTGTGGTTTGACTTTTGGACCGTGCAGTCCACCTCCAATTCCACTTTCTTATTTGTATTTTTAAGCTGAGAGGCGGGGATCAAGTTATCTTTCTGAAAATCCGACAGGTTGTTCATGGCCTCCGAGTCTTGCTCGTCCTGGCTCCTCTGTCGCTGAATGTGTCTCAGGACGATGACCACCATGCAGAGCAACACGAGGAGAGCGACCAGGCCCACTCCCATGGACATGGCCACCCAGGGAAATGGCTCCTTCGGCTGTACCGTGTCCGGCAAAGGCAGGAGGAAGAACTCGCACTGGGGCCCTGTCAGGCCAGGCGGGCACTCGCAGGTAAACGGCTTGTCCAAGGCTCCAGGGTGACAGCTTCCCCCATTGCTGCAAGGCTGGGAGGCGCAGTGGTCCGTCACCTGGTTGCAGTTCCTCCCGGTGTAGCCGGCTGGGCAGACGCAGTTGTAGTCGTTTATCCTGTCGATGCAGGTGCCTCCGTTGCCACAGGGGTTGGCGGCGCACTCGTTGATGTTGATTTCACAGCGCTGGCCTGTGAAGCCGGAACGGCAGCTACACACTCGCACGTTGCCATTAACGACGCACAGTCCACCTAGAGGTGCAAATTCACAACATTCACTTTAAGCATCCCGAGGACATTTGCTAGATGTCTAGTCGCGTTGCTCTGCACGTTACCGTGTTCCGTTCAGTGCACGTTCGCTATTTCGTGAGACTGTGGCTGTGTTTGTTTGCTCTTACCCATCAAAACAAACATGCTAAATTGAGGTTTGCATTCAGTCTGCTTAGATTTCCCCTACAGAACAAACTTGTTTTTAACACACGGTATGGTTCCTGCAGTTTTCAAAGATCACACCCTAATTCAAACTCAAATCAAAACCGCACCTTAAATTCTAGGTTCAGAAAAATCATAGAAAATACTTCCATCATACTTAATGTATATGAAGATTGTACTAATATTGAATTCAAAAGCGAACATTTAGGACGACCTTTAATGTTTCAACAATGAAAATACATATTTTGTTTGTGTTTGCTTTATACTATAAATAGTGGTCTTTCATTTAATTCTGCTTGCTAAATCATTATTAAGTCAATTACAAATGCAATTGCTGTCTGGAATGTCAAAGAGCAGCCAGCCCTGATTCTGTTGTAAAAGCTCAGGATGGGGCCCATCTGCAAAATGTGTTCATAAACAAGCAAAGAAGGTATTGGTTTGAATGGTTTTGTCATCCTATAGACACACCAGACATGTTGGGAGCATGTAGACACCAGACACAACCAGCCCTTAGGTAAACAAGACACCCACAAGGAGGCAAAATGTTAACACCTGCACCAGACTGTGCAAAGATGTGGGAAATTGACACAAATCTATCAGAATACTAATTTAGGAGTTTCTAGCATTCTTTAGAGGATCTCATTTGCTTCAGTCCCCAGCTAGAGTACTGTCAGTCTGCCGTAAGCTACAATATCTAAAATATTGTAATACAGTTATTTACTAATGTGACACACATAATTTCAAAAATGTGTTTTGAAGGTGAATCACTGACACATTTAATTCTTCTAGAATACTAATTATATATAGAACTATACTTATGTTTTCATTTGTGTAAATGGTGCCTGACAAATTACCTCTGCAATTGTTCTTTTCTACTATTGCTTGCATGCCTGATATCTCATCATAGATTTTTGAAACATTTCTCTTTGATTTACTTGTTGAATTCATTAGAAAAAAGCTGTTTTGGGCACACGATTCATGTATATTTTATAAACAATTAGATAGCTACTGTTACTGCGACTAGTATTGTTCTGTATTAAAAACAGCAACATGACATGTAAAGCGTTTGTACCATTTTTATTTAAAATCTTTATTTATAAATTCTGCAACATTTAAGTAAATAAGTTGGGGGAAAAAAACACTTGTCATTTATCCTTACATTGTGTAGTTTGCCCATCTACATTAAATTAAGGTTACGTGTTTTTCTTTATGGGCAGGATCTGTAAATAGTGCATTAAAAATGTTAAAGAATTATAATGAAGAAGGATAGTACATTTTCAATGGATCTGAAGCTTGTTGCAAAAAACAACCAAAACAGTTTTAATGTAAAATCTTGTCTTGGATACACGTTTGGAATAACTCAAATGTGTTGGGGAAACTCATCAGCTACGGAAAAAAGAGGAATTCACAGCGTACCATTAGCACAAGGAAGGGTAGTGCATTTGTCAACTTTCTTCTCACAGTTCAGTCCAGTGAAGCCTTGCGGACATTCACATGTGTAACTCCTTCCATTGTCTTTCTCTTTGCACTTGCCACCGTGGAAGCATGGGGAGTCTGCGCAGGTTAAAGAGCTGTGCTCGCAGTGGGCCCCCTCAAAACCTCCAGGACACGAGCACTTGTAGCCATTCTCCAGATCCTGGTGAGAAAATCAGGACAGGAACTTCAGGAAGGTTACAAACGAGAGGGAGCCATTTGGTCCATCTAGCTCATTTAGTTCATTTAGTTCCTAGCAGGTAATTGATCCAGCCGATTGTGAAATATCCTGGGGATGCTGCATCAAACATAACTGCACGAAAGGCAGTTTGTTGAAATGTTTTTAAAAATATTTATCTTGGGAAACTCTGATACAAAGTTACACTCTCTAAATTGATGTCATGTGGACAGATCTCTGTTCTTGTACCTCTCTGAGGTTAAAAGGCATTGTATTTCTATCGTGGTGGGGCTGGAAATGTGCAATACAGTGTCTACACCTCACACTAACTCTGTAACAGTCAGCTGTATACACAGCATTCCATGGGATAAGTGCCATTATGGGTCATTCCTACAAATTCTTTCACTTCCGAAAAAACAGGGTAATACATCAAGGACCAGGCAAAAACAGGAAATGCTTTTCTGCACCCAAAACCATAGGAAGAGATCTGTTGGCTAAGAGTCTCTTACCAAGCACCTCCCTCCATTCCTGCAGGGGTTGCTGTCACACTCTCGCACCTCCAGCTCACAGTTCACACCCGTGAAGCCAGGCCTGCAGGTACAGGTGTAACTTCCCTGCCCCGTGTTCATGCACGTGGCCCCATTCTGGCAGGGTTTATGATGTGTGCAGTAGTTAAGATCTGGAAGGGACGAAGGGGGAAAGTTGGATTTTGCACACAACGCTTAAGTGAAACAGCACAAGCGAGGCGACCGATCATGTTATCAGACTGAAAACGTAAAGAAGGACAGGTATTTTCATAAACAGTTATTCACTGACGGAAGATACAGTGCATGATGAACAGACCAAGTCTGCCATACCTCTATGCTTCCAAATCTTATTCTTTCATAGTCAAACCGCTTGACATTGGTTACCGAAGCAATATGGCCATAACTTTTGGTAGACGAATTGCACATACAGTATACCTCAGCTCCCCCTTAGTACATTTGCAATCCCCAGCAACTCCTTAATAAAATGGGAATTCTGTACTTCTGTACTTGTGTTGGAGTTTCGGCTAACAGTGTAGTGCAGGCAGCTGCGTGTCTGCTGTTCTGCGTTCTCTTACCCTGTTCACAGAACAGTCCGCCCCAGCCTTCTTTACAGTTGCACTGCCAGGGCACCTCACAGGTACCGTGCTTACAGCCAGGGTGTCTCTGACACTCATCACAGTAGGTGCCCTGCCAGCCATTCCGGCACCTGCAAGAGCCAAACACCCTGACGTCACAAACGAGAGAAACAACCCCAGGCCCAGTCCTCCTCCTGCCCACGTTTTGCCAACCTGCATACAAGTGCCCATTTTTTCCCCCTAGATTATGTGTGTTCATATATTTTTTTTAAGTGAAACCTGCAACCTCTGACTTGTTATGTGTATTCCTGGTGGTCTTGATGGCCGCTGACTGAGGAAGGGAAGCTGTGTTACATTTACATTTCCAGTTACATTTGCCTCTACTGTAGGTATTTTACAAAGTAAGCAGGAAGATGGAAGAACACTGTTCAAATACCAGTTAGATCTTAGACTTTATCAGCTGATTAGAGCAGCCCCCGCAGAGATGGGAGAGGTTGATTGGAAATGATAGATTTGCATGAGTAGATATGAAGAATGCAGGACTACCCAGAGCGATGGATAACAGACACGCATTTTTTTAAAAAAAAATTGTGATCATGTTTACTTTTAGAGCGGGTTATACTCTGTGATGTGTTAGTCCAGACAGGCAAACACTTTCACTTCATATACTTACACACATTCTCCTGGTTTGGAGCAGTTTCCAAAGGTTTCGCTGCACCCCTCAAGGCAAATCGCTGCAATAGAAAAAAGAAAAAAAGTATATCAGTCAAGGAATCTGTTTTCACTCAACTGCTTTTTCTACTGAGACAGGCACACAAAAACAAGGTTTGCTCACCAGCTAACTATATGCAATTTATTGGCGATTTAAAAAAGCAAACATAAATAAACATGCACTCTGTTTTGGACAGCTAAACTTTCTGGCAAATCCAAGTTTTTGTTAAGGGCAATTGAATCAAACTTGTTATCCTAGCCTTCTTTGCTAAAGAAGCCTGATAATTTGATGCTGTTTGTGTTGTGTTGTATGTGACATTGATTTTGCATGGTTACAAGACCAGTGTTTAACGGCTGGTTAGCCCTCAACAGATGCTTGCTCTCAAAAGCGGACAGCTGCTCCATTGTTGTTTGTAGGCTGTGCGAACCATATTTGCAGCTGCTGTGCTCCTGCCCAACAATAGAGACCGCAATTTAGTGGCGCGTGGCGGATAATAATGCTGCGATTAACCCGGCGCGTGCTGCTCTTCTAATAGAACGCTGGCCTGGGATTAAGCAGCCCTGCTCGCGTACGCGAAGGGAGAGAGAGAGAGAGGTTGGGGGCTGGTTGGCGGCTGTGTTTCTTCACCACGCGTTTGCTAATTTATATTAAAGCAACCTAGGAACGCGAAATTGGGAAAGCGAAGCGGCACAAATTTGGGCTCGTTTTGGCGCCAGTTTCAAAAGTAACACATGCTAATTAAAAGTTAGCGCAGAGCTGAAAGCTGTTGTCGACAGCAGAGGAAAGACCCTGGTGAACAATGATATTATCTGACGCAGAAACAGAACTGTTATACCAAACTGCTCGCTAACGACCACTTGGACTATTGCTTTAATTGCTTTCCACGCGTAATCCTCAAAATCTGTTCGTCAAACCGCATTGTAAGCATGGTTCAAATTGGATAAACCGCAACGGAACTCAAATGAAAGGCAATATGACTTCGCCGAAAACCAGCCTGTTGGCAGTATTTGACTATCTTGAGGAAAATTGACATTGTTTTCTAAATGGTTGCCAAAAATGGTTTTATACCGAGTCCATAAAACCGCTGACATGACGCCTGACACAGTATTGAGGTGGCCATGGAAATAACACATTAATTGTATTACAATCATTTTAACAACTGCCCGGCTCAGATTCAGTGATATTCTGCTCATACCCCTACCTCAAGATCTGTAAGTAAAGAATTTCAAACTCAGTGTTGTTTAGTTCTATCTACATTTTCAAGGTGGTCAGAAATCTTTTGTTTTTACAATTCTGTTGCGACAGACGTGTCCAGTTTTAGTTAACTATACCTTTCGCAGCATGTCCACGGTACATTAATCTACGTGTCGTTCTTGAAATGCAGGGTGGGTACATTTACCCCCACAACCTTGCCTTTATTTTTCTGCGTGTGGGATTAGCCTGACAGGACAAGCCAGTATCACGTCAATCGCATCGCTCTTAATCTGAACAGCTGGCATCACTGTTTACGTCCAGGTTCCCCATATTAGGGCTCTCTCTTTACTGTAAAAGCTTTTTCAGAGGCATAAAACCGCGATAAGAACCGATGTACAGTGTAGAAAGGGTTGTAGTCTATTTGTCGATTTGTTTGAACAAAAAAAAAACGAAAAAAGGAAAACTTGTAGCTTGAAGCAAACCCAAGATCTTGTAGGCCAGTAGATTATTTCTCTGGTTGCTTACGTTCTTCGCAGTATCCTCCCTTCCAGCCAGGGAGACAGGATATTTGCCCATCAGAGTTGCAGGTGTAGTGGCCAAAACGGTCGTCTCTGGGCGTGCATTTTTTGGAACAACTTTCGCCGTAGTAATTTTCATTGCAGATGACCCGGTAAGAATACCTTAGCTCTGTCTGCTTGCCGGTCTGCACATCCTGAGACCACTCATCCCCTACTTCCAACTTTCTTTGGATGGCAAAAAAGCTAATCAATAATTCGGTGTTGTTTGTATCTGGAAATATAAAAAGAACAAAAACAGAAACCGTATTAACGACAGCAAGAGCAAGTGCAACACCTTGGTCAGGACTGTATTTTCTGAACGAGAGTTTTGCTTTTTTTGACATCGAAGAAATAATAACATTTTGTTACATTTCGAAAAAAGTATAACATATTTTAATCCTAGAGATCAACAAATGATTAACATGTTCATCCCGTCGACGTTCGCTTCTTTCAAAGCTCTTAAGCCTTTCTTTCAAGTCCACAGTGTACTGCGATTGAAATTTCCTCTTCCTCTATGTCAGCAAAACATTCATAAGCCATTATTCCTTTTCCAAAGGGCGGAACAGAAAAAGGTGTAAAATACAGGAAAAGGCAGTCAGAAGGTTTTGGCATGGTTGAGATATTCTCACCAAAGAACAGCTCACTTTCCCACGCCAAAAATAAACCAAAGGAAATGCAATTGTGTTCAAGTACGAGGCTGAAAGAAGTGTTGAATAGCACGTAACAAAGAGAAAAAACAGAAAATTCCGGATAACTTTCAAGGAGGGAAATATAATTGAAAACTTTTTTGTAATTGTTTTTGCATGCGTTTCGAATACAAGCTGTCAAAACATCATTATTGTCCCCATCACCAGAGAAAACATAGAGAAAGGGCTCCCCCTTGTGGTGAAAATATTTGATTTACTCACCTACAGGTAGATGTGCATTAGGAGCATGCCAGGCTTCGATTATTAAGGAAAACGACCCCTAAAATCAAAGATAAAACACAACCACACGCTAAATTAAATTAGTTTCGAATCAGTTAAGTTATTATTTTTTAATGTCATCATTTCAATTTTAGGCATGAAACTAATAAAATATTGTTGTTTTTTTAAGTTTTCTAAATAAATTCAGTGGAATAATTTAAAATTCCACAACTACTCGTTCTAAAAAAATCCTCTACTTGTTTTTCTTCCAGTAAAAGCAGCACAGCTGCTTAATTTCTATAATAAGGTTTTGCAATTTTGAAATAAGCTTCAAGGTGAACCGCAGTCCCCCTGAACTCGGGGGGTTCGGTCCGTATCATTTTCTAACAGCGAAAAGTGCACATCTGACCCTCCATCGTCCTTTATTGTAAAGTTCGTGTTCTATATCTTACCGGCCATCCGAAGTCGAACTTCAGTTGAATGGGTTTGCTGAAACCACTTCCCTCCACGACGTTAAATGAGTTTGATCCCAGTACAGGTGTAACTACACTTCCGAAGATACATTCACCTGGGGATACAACAGCCTGATAGTTCTTCAGGCACACCCGAAAGAAGGTCCTGCAGTCAGGTTTGCACGAATTTCCATTAGCCAGTAAACTCTTAGTATTCAGGAACTCCTGAAGATCCAGCTCGAATACACCGGATCCCAAGACCTTGAGAAAACAGTAAAACAAGTGAAAAATAAAATTACGTTTAGACAGAAGATAATACATACGCAAATTAAAATGTTTTTCGAAGCGTTAAAGCTTTCATACGCGCCGAAATCCACGGGAGGGAAACAACGAGAATGTTGCAATTTACCTGCGAGTAAATTGTCATACTAAGTACGATGGTGAAGGTGAGCCTGTCTGCCATCCTTTTTCTGCTTCTGCTAGGCAGCTGCGATTGCCTTGAAAAGCGCTTTTTTATTCAGACAGGGCTGCTATTCCAAGAGGTGCTGATGAAAGAAAAAAGGTAGATCCGTCTTTTGAGCCTCTTTTTCAGAGCCCCCTTCTCTTCAGCGATTCCAGTACCCCAAGCGTAAATCTTAAAATTCCAGATCATCCAGCAGCAGAGTTGCATTCAGATATACGAAGGTCAATATCCAGTTTGCTCTCGTTTCTTGGTAGACTCCACCTTGCATATACTCCCAGTGATTATTATTATTATTTTCTTCTGTGTTGTGGTCGATGCCTGTGGTGTTTTTCTTGAGCAGAGACCGTCTTTCCTTCAGCTATACAGTACTGTACGGTGGAGGTCTTAGTATTCCTAAATGGAGACCGTCTCTCGCTTTACTCAGTTTATATAGTTGCTTCTTACCCGTGCAGCTCATTATATAAACTGTCCATCAGTAAACACCGCCCACTTTCCATCTTCAACCCCCCCCTCTCCAAGAACACTCATATCCAGATTTAATACCCCACCGCTATGCTGACCACCAAAGGAGACAGACTGATTATTAACAAGCCGAGCATCTGTTGATATATTTACAGCACATAGGCGGGGGGGCATGTAGGCTGCGTTTCACCCCCAAATTTTGATTGATGACGCTTTATTAATAAAAAAGCACGCCGTGGAGGGAATTTGTTTGTTTAAAACGGGCAACAGAATTTGAAAATCTCTCGGAGAGACAGAAGGAATTACAGAATGCTGAAATTCAATTACACACTCAACCCTTCTCTCTGTGTGTAGCACACGGCACTGTCATTTGCTTGGTTAATTATATTATTTTATTGTGGCAAAGCAGGAACATCCAAAACTCGTCGTCTGGCCCCCTGTTTCGGTTGCATTACGGGTTAATAATTTCTGAATGCCGAGCTTCATTTGTCCATTTTACACATAACAGGTTTTCATGTTAATTAACCCCCATTCAGTATTTTTTTCTTCTGTTTGTTTTCCGATTTTTGGCTTTTTCCATGACATTTCTGTTCCAACGCCTGTCTGAAAGCTAAAATGTCTTATGCTTTGGAAAGGATGCGCAGATGGATAGGCATGATGGATTACCTTCATCTTCGTCATCTGAAGGACACAGAGATATTGATGGATAAATGGTTGTTACTGTCGTCACTTTCATTCATTGGCGATAAAAAAAATTGAATTCTCCGTTTTTAAAACGTTCCTCAGAATCAAAATACATTCATTTACCCACGTAGAACGGGTGTGTGCTCTAGGTAACATAGAGCTAAAGGTAGTCTGTTTCACCTTCAGTGTAAATATTTTTCGATTTATTGAATTGTGTTTTACAGTGTGTGCTTGGTAACTGGCTGTGTACTGCGCTTATTAAGCTTGCCCAAGTGATTGCGGCGTGCCTCTTATTGTTGGGTCGCGTGCCCCTCATTAAAGCCAAGCACAGAGGGCCTTTCATGTGGCTTTTTATTTAAGATTGTAAAAGCGATGGGGGAAGATAACTATTCAGCTGTATGATAATGAGGTCCCATCAGAATTATGCTTCCGCAAAATCATAAACCCTTGTGTGCTCATGTTCATTGGAAATTGAAGGACACTGCGCAAAAATGCAGTCCAGATTGTAACCTGTTTCACTCCTTTGTAAAAAAACGGAATTTCGCGACCTCGGTGAATTACATTTTCTTTCACTTAGTATTCCAAGGCTGTTAAACGGATAAAGCTATTGACGTTGTGTTTTACGGATAAAAAAGAACTAGCCCGAAACTAGCTAGAAATTAATTGCGCTGTAGTTTCGACTGGCATAATGGATGATGTCATATTCTGGGGTTTGCGGGTTTAAAATCTTAATTATTGGATGATCAGAAGAAAACGCACACTCAAGCCACACAGTAGCCCAAAAATGATGTCAAGTCTTCTAATGTGAAAGTATAATTATGTCATAATGTTGAAGAGACTGGTAAATTTAATCCGTACAATTTTGGATTTTAACTGACATTTCTTGAAAACATATTATTTTCGTTTCGTTTCTTTAAAGAAGAGAAATGTGCAAACTTCCACAGAAATAAATCAAGAACGTTTCACAGCAACCAAATTGTTAAGCAAATAAGAAATATATATATGCCAAACCTTAGATTTAAATCAACTGCTTGCATAGAATTAAAAATAACTGTGGTGAATTTTATTTTTTTAACCACGCAACGCTGTATTTAGAATCAACTATTTTTTTTCCTTTACAAATTGCTGCATAGATTTAGCAATGGCATCATAGAGTTTCAAATCCTTAATTACTAGTTAACGCTCTCTCCCAATATGTAAAGTCTTGTTAGTTTAAAACTGAAATAGTCCCTGTTTTTTTAAAATGCGAGTAATACAATTAATTTATATATGGGAGCTCTCAAGCATAATCATATTAGTGATGAGCTATTAATGATGACTGTGTACTTTCGGAGGCAGTTATTGGCTGTTAATTTAGCCCAGGACTACCTAGCAGGATGTCAAGATTTGTTGGCGATATTCAACATGCGGGGTTTGATTTCTGGTCATTTTTCTTTCACCACAGTTTCCTCAAACAGGGGTTCTTCCCGCCTTTCATTAGCATACAGACATACAGTATAAAGTACAAATTCAACAACTTTTCTCCAAATTAGCCTGTAGAGTTTCCCGATCCAATTAACCACTCCTTGTGGACGAGCAAAATAAGCATCACGTAACTTACATAAAAAATAGGAAAATGAACTTATAGATGTGATTGATTACGGTTGTGTAATAACAAATTACATCTTAGTTTCTTGATGTACTTTTATTGCGTAAAAGGCTATAATATATATTAAAGTAAGGCCATACATATAACATTAAAAGTTTGATCATTGTTTCATCGCTATGTTCAATACAATCGCCAGCTGTACACAAGTATAGAAGCGTTATACAAGTGTGAATTCCCTTTTCAGACAGCTTTCTCAATAGAGTTTATAAGGAATTAATAATATAGTCTATATGTTAAATATTATATGATTTAGGATGTTCCTATGATTTCCAGAGTGCATAAACTTTTGTTTGGATAACACCTAGCCAGGAAAACATCCTTGTGACAAAGCCTTCTCATTTCCAGAAACGGTAGCCTACCTACACGCAAATTGATAATATTTGTGTTACCTTTGAAAAGTATGAAATGAGATGCAATGTCAATTATTTTTTTTTCTGTCGGTTTCGTTAACATTGTTCAGAAAATGAAGGACTAAATGCTCTAGAAAGCAACCTTTACAGTTATTTTTTTTTTGTAAGTCCATGGTATACCTCTGGTGAAGTTTGTATCGTCTGTTGTGATGTTCTTGATATTATTTTTGTGTACTCGAGCATGGTCCCGTTTTTCATACTAACGAATGGTTCTGTTTTGAAGATGTTAAACTACGGTTGCGTCGCTTAGCGGAATGGTTTACTTGAAAATTAAGTATAGCGTTGTGAATTGTAACAGAATTCCTTAAACAGTTATGGAAATTTTGTGTAGGTAGTTTTGATATTGTAAATGTAGCCCAGAGAAAAAGGATATCGACTTTTTAAATCCCTCCCTCACACCTTATGCTAACTTGCAGAATGTAGATCAATCGGGTATATCAACTGTTCGATCTGCGATGCCGATGTTTATAATTATCATGACTGCGAGCACAGAAGGAGAAGCGATCTCCAAACTGTTAGAGCCAGCTGCGATACTCGCATCCATCCTGTTCTTATTGAAGTGAGACAGACGCGTGCTGATACGCTTAATGGGGATGCCACGCGTTTTATCCGTCGGGACCAAAGCACAGATATTTCGATAACATTGACAGGTCTTTTTTCAGCGAAAAAAAAAAGCCTGAATCGAATTTTCTGTCATGAATTAATCCCTCAACACTTTCCCTCCTTCGTCACTAATAGCATCTTTGAGTTCATCGTTTTTGGAACGGCGAAGAGGGATTCATAGCACCCGGATAAGCTTTTGAAATCTTTTGTTGTTTTTTAAGTATTACCCGCAAAACAAAGCTTGCATTTGCATTACAAATTTCGCGGTTGGTACCCATATCAAAGCTTTCATTTCCGCTCATCAGAATAACATTGTCTTGAATACAGAGTGCAGTGGTTATTTTTTCCCCTGTTAATAAGGTTTTGCTTTACAAAAAAAAAAACTCTGGAGAAACTTCACAGTCATAGTTTTACGTGTTACCCAAATGTAAAAAGAAAGATGTTAATTTTGCTGCGTTCTAGCAATTCTGCGCACGTCTATGCTTATGTTAAGTCTTCTGGCTTTCAAATACAAATTATATAAAACACGTAGAGGAAACTTGTATTGTAATACCCCCTTCCTAAAAAAAAACTTCACAAATATTGTCCATTTGCAAAGGGCCAAAAAACGCTTCTAAATGTGAACTTTCTAAATGTTCTTGTACATTCGGTTCCTTCTACTTATTTTTCCTCGTAGAATCGATCTCTAACTTATTTTTTTTAATCTTGGCAGCGAGTAACAATTGACACCAAGGTAGATGGCACAGGGCTAGAGTTTCCAGTCACCTCAGAGGTGGAGCACTGGGTTGAGTTCTCCGTCTGCGCTACAGTCACTGTAGTGTGAGAAGGATAAACGACGTAAGATAGCATCTTCATCTTGTGGATTTAGAAAAGCAAATGCTAACCAGCGTTTGCGTTTCGCTTGAAGCCCGGGCACTAACTGTGCCTGGACATAAAAACGGATATTTTGATTCTTTTGGGTTAGAATAGTGCACGAGACATAAGTGATTTTTAAAATGACTTTTAGTCATTACATCAGAAGAGAACAGGATGCATTTTTCCACACGTTCTGTGAAGACAATTGAGGCTGTCAATGTTATTGAAAATAATGTTCTGATATGCCCACTGCACACTACATCTGCTTTTGGTTGTTTTGCCATAGTAGAATAATTGCAGTATATGACATATTTAGTTTCCTTTACCCTTATCTTCCCAGGGCTTGTGTCATACTCTATCATAAGTTTGTGCGTATTATCTTTCTTTTATCATCATTTTTAAGTGTGTTAAAGAGAACTTTATTGTGCTTTTCTTGTGGTGTAACAGACACATGTCTGATCATTTGAAAAACATAGATCAGTTTGGTATATCAGCCGTTGGGCCTGTGATGCTGATGTTCAAAATTCTAATGATACAGTCACAGAAGGAGATGGAGATGTTTATTCCGTTACTTGTATCCGCACTGTTCTTATTGAAGTGGGACACTAAGTAGTGTCAAAACCACATTAATTAAGGCCTGAAGTTGTCCTTTGCATAACGCAGAGTCAGTCTGACCATTGTATATACTGTATATGTACTGTATACATGTCTCTGTTTTGAAACATAATCATCATTTCCTATTCCATCTTCCTGCAAGTGCAGCAGATTAGATGTCAAA